GTATCTCTTCAGAGAGAACCCGCTTTCTCAGTGTGACATTTTGCCATTGTCTCTTCCAGTCTTTCTCCCGTTGCCGGAATCAGCTACACAGTTGGATCCTTTACTGCCTTCCACTTAACTGCCTGCCTGCTCGCCCCACCGTGGACTCAAAGCCTCAGCATACAGCCAGCACCCTCCTCTCCTATCCGGATTCCCATCTAACACAGTAAGGACTACCAACATCACCATTGGATTTATCATTCCTCTTAACCCTCCTAACCATCTTGTCCTGCATTTAGTGCATCTCCTTTCCTGAGGTTCCTCCTTCCCCCCCGAAGATCTACAACACCACTTGTACTCAATAAACATTGTTATCACTTCCACCACTGTCTAAAGTGTCTGCATATTGGGCCCTCACATCAAAGGGGACGTCTAGTTGAGCTAGCCGTGACAGCATAATCTGGCCAACAGGATGGAAGTTCTCCAGGGTGCACTATCCAATCCGGGAATCCTGCTCTGAGAACACAACAGGGCGCTGTGTTCTCTAAGGGAACAGCAGGGCGCCAACAACCGACGCCTCAATCAGGTCTTTGAGCTGTTGCAAGACATCCATGAACGCCTGTCTGTTCCCCCCCAGACATTTCCCCTGTCATTTCACCTTGCCAGACATCAGCCAGCCAGGCCACCACACCTGAGCCCATCTTTCGCGACTCCTCCTTCCCCACACCAGAGCGTTTCTCCGGAGACGTCAGCAAGTGTGGTGGTTTCTTACTCCAGTGTTCCCTAGCCTTCGCTTGTTCTCTCCTACATTGTGGCTCTGTTAGAAGGGAGAGCGCTAGAATGGGCGGATTCCGTTGAGCCCATGCAGGTGGGCGAGGCTCCCTCCAGAGAAGCGTTTTTGTCCCTTGAGAGCCAATGAATGTCTCCAATACTGTAGTGCCCAGAACCATTTCATTTCGCACTCCCCCATTGGGCCAAAAGGACAGAGCCCACCAGTAAAGGCAGGATTACTGGTGGGCAGTACCATTAAGGATAATCCTCGACTCACGCTTCCAGTGACTATTCAGATAAACAACACCACCCCAGCTAGCTTAGTTTAGGTCGATTCTGGGTCAGAACAGAATCTTCTGGATCCCATTTTGGCTTCACAGCGCCATCTTCCGATGGAACAACTACCTTCACCCAGTAACTGCCCTTGACGTGGGTACTCTCTACCATCACTCACAAAACCGCTCCCATCTCTCTGATAGTTTCCGGGAACCACTGTGAATCGATTGAGTTTCTTCTGTTTCCTGGCTCAAGCACTCCAATGATCCTCGGGTTTCCCTGGCTTGCACTACACAACCCGCACATCCTCTGGTCAGGCCGTCGCATTGAAAGTTGGAGTCTTTTGTCTGTCTAACTGCCTTAGATCAGCACTTCAGTCTCCTCGCTCTCCTCCATCTGACATTACCATCTCCCCTGTAGATCTGTCGCTTGTTCCCACTGAATACCATGATCTAGGTTCAGTAAAGCTAAGGCCCTGTCTCTGCCTCCATCGCCTCTATGACTGCACCATTGATTTATTGCCAGGAGCACCCCTACCTTCCAGCCTGTACACGCCCCGAACGCGAGGCCATGGAACTTTACATTCGCGACTCACTGGCCGCTGGGATCATCAGACCATCCTCTTCCCCGGTCGGGGCTGGATTCTTCTTTGTTCAGAAAAAAGACAAATCACTGCGACCCTGCATTGACTACCGGGGTTTGAACCAGATCACTGTCAAGAATAAATATCTTCTGCCACTCATCTCTTCTGCTTTCAAACCTATACAGGGCGCCACCATATTCTCCAAACTCGACCTTCGCAACGCTTACCACCTGGTTCGTATTTGGGAGGGGGATGTGTGGAAGACTGCTTTTAACACACTACTGGGACATTTCGAACATCTAGTTATGTCCTTCGGGCTTACCAATGCACCAGCAATTTTCCAAGCCCTCATCAACGATGTGTTGAGACTATTTGAACCAGTTTTTTTTTTGTCTACCTCAATGACATTTTGATTTTTTTCCAGATCCTTAGCCGACCTTAAGGAACATGTCCGTCGAGTTCTCCAACGACTCCTAGAGAACCGCCTGTTCATCAAGGCCGAGAAGTGCTAGTTCCACCACTGCATGAAAAGTGAGATTTTCGTCTCCGTAAACGCCCGGAAATCTCCCTAATTTCCGACAATTTCCGACAATTTGCAACCCGCGCACGTCGCGTTTGTCTGTGCCACAAATTGTCGGAAACGAACCATGACGTATGCGGAGAGCTGGCGGAGGTGCGAATGGCCCGAATTAGCATATGACTGCAGCGAAGCCGCGGGTGGCCGAGCGGAGCGGGCTTGAATATCCTTACTCCTTATTGGATGAAACCACAACTTACTAACAAATAAAATCACTCGTGATTGGCAGCAAAACCAAACGTGGGCAGACCAGGCTTGAGTTTCCTTGTTCACGATTGGATGAAACCACAACTTTCAATCACTCGTGATTGGTTGGCAGATCTGTCGTTATTGGTCACCACCCATTTTATTTATATATTCATATTATGCTGTATATTCATTTCATGGTCATCCTATGTAGGCTACTACACTATTATTAGGATAACAACCAGGACATCAATGAATTTATAGAGAAAATGAACATTTGCCACATGTTTATGCAAAGAAAGAGCTTTATTAACAACACACAAACAACAACTACATACAAAGTGAGGATCTGCCCACACTTGGGTAAAGGCGGTTTAAAAACTACAGCTCAGTAAACTGTCCGTTTGCCTCCTCGGGGTTGTAGACCGTCACTGGCGCCGTGTTTTCCGAGGCAGGTCTGTTGTGCAGGCGCCTAGTGTGTGTGTGGCGACCGTACAATCCACCCCGAGACCCCGCCAACAACGCCGTCCCCTCCGTCCGACGTGAGCTCTACGGTGGCGGATTTCCAGAGTTCCACCTCGTCATCAGCCAGCACACTTTGTCTCGATTCCAGCAGCTGTAAAAACAACAATGAATCAGTACTGTGCGATGCGTACGGACACAACACACCGATCAATGCACCTGAAACAAGTCAGCAAATATGAACTGACCCTCTTTCTTCTCGCTCGACTCCGCGCTGAACTCGTCTAAATCTGGACTTTTCCCGGAGCAAAATACGAGGTCACCGCCTCATTATGAGGCGAGATTAGTCTGTGAAAACAAAATGTACAGTTATGATCGGTATCCATACGTATATATTTCCTTATAGCGCAGAATGAAAGCATCTTCTTTAAATCTGACCCTTGCTCCGGTTCGTAGCGCCTGTAGTTCGTCTCGGAGTTGTGAAGACGGCGCACCGCTTCCTGTAAACAACACGGCAAAGAAAACACACTTTAATAAAGCTGTTTCTGCTCACTTGTAAGGCTACTAGGCTACTCTTAGCTTAGCTTGAGGCTACGCTACTTTTAGCTTAGCCTGCAGTCATCGAACGTATTCTTACCGCTATCGTGGGATTGTGCGCCCGTCTCCTCTTCTTTGAGTCAGTTCCTCCAGAGCCGCCATCCTCTCCTCTATGGACAGAAACCTGGAGAGTCCCGAACGCTCCAGTGGAGCGAACCGCTCGTTGATATCGGCAGTTTGTTGTTGGAGTTGACGAGACAATCCACTGAGAGCATTCAGCAGTTTCTTCTCGTCTGTCTGCGGACTGGCCGAAAGTTTCTGACCGCGGAGAGGAGTTGAAGGCGAGTTGAAGGCGAGACGTCGTCCAGCCATTATTCACGAACCAGCAAAAACCAAACAAAGGAACTGGAGATACAGTTCTTCTGAATATAGTAACAGACATGTTTGTATGCTCGTCTTGCAAGTACTGCTGTCTGAGTCATGCCTATGACCTCACACGTGATTCTAAGTCTAAGGGTCCTCCAATCACATACGAGGTTATTGTTATACGGAAGGACCAGTATTTTAGGAAGACAAATAGTTGGGACTTTGAAACAGCTGATATGCTTTATGTAAAGCAGTGTTTTGGTGTCAGCCGAACGACTTTCCCTACAAAACTGTACAGTGGTGCCTCTTTCTCCATTCCACCAGACACTCTTGAGTCTGACATACATGCAATGTTGACAGTGTATCATCAGATCTACCCTTGTGTCACTGAGGTTGAATGTTTTGCCATGACATGTAAACGGGTAACATATATGAATGTAACTTACTCAATCGATAGATGCAGAGCATAAAGGTCAGCATATGTTCATGCTAAGTGGTGTGGAAACACTAACAGTTTTGAGGAACCCGTCCTTGACCCTCTAGCAGAACTACGACCAGCTATTATAAAGCAGTTTATAGTTGTTAATGTTGTGTCAAAGGGTACGGCATTTAAACATGTTCTTGCACAGGTTTCCTGGCTTCATCCCCACCCGGACAGACATTTTTATGGAAAGCCAATAGAAGTTTGGGGCTTGCAGGGAACAGATACGTCATACCCAGCATCATTTCTGCCAGTTGAGCGCATTGCTAGAAGATGTGTGGTTAATACATCCTCTGTGCATCAATTCAAGCTCAAATGTAAGAGTCTATAATTAGGTTACTGAGTCTGATTTATTTGTACCAGAGATTTTCTTACCTTTTAAAAAAATGTCACCTGGGCTAAAACTCCCTCTGCGACCCTGATTTGCGTTTGTATAGCTCACAGCATTTTCATTTACATGTCAAAGCCTCCCCTAGAATTAGGAGGAGGGTGGTCATGGGGGGACAACTGCCAAGGGAGGCCCACATCAATTTACGGCAGTTTTCGGCGTTGCCCGCAAATTGCCGCAAACCTGAAATTCCACGACAATTTACAGTGCCGCATACTGCCAAAAATCCCACTTTTCATGCAGTGCACGTGCCTTCAGTGTCCTTCCTTGGCTACATTTTCAAGGGCAGGCAGGTGAAGACAGACCGAGAACAGATCAAGGCAGTGTCTGAGCGGCCCACTCCAACCAATCGTAAGCAGCTCCAACAATTTCTAGGCTGTGCCAACTTTTACCGTTGATTCATTCGCAATTACAGCATCATCGCTACACCATTGACTAAATTAACCTCTGTCAAGACAGTTTTTTCCTGGACTTCTGAAGTTGCCCAAGCCTTTCAGCCGTTGAAAGACAGGTTCACCTCTGCACACATTTTGATCCAGCCCAACCCCATTTGTCAGTTCAACTTGGAGGTGGATGCCTCGGATTCCGGGGTAGGCGCAGTATTGTCCCAGAGACCCGACCCCGAGGGGGAGTTACATCCATGCAACTTCTTCTCCCGAAAACTTTCGGCGGCCAAGCAGAATTATGATGTTGGGAACCGGGAGCTCCTGGCCATCAAGCTAGCATTGGAGGAGTGGAGGCACTGGCTGGAAAGCGCTAAACAGCACTTCATTGTATGGACTGACCACAAAAACCTCTCATCCATTCAAACAGCTAAGAGATTAAACTCCTGCCAGGCTCGTTGGCATGTCTTGTGTTTTTTGGAAGATTCGACTTCTCCATTTCCTGTCGCCCAGGTTCCCGAAATGTCAAGCCTGACGTCCTGTCTCGACAGTTTGCCCCCGAAGAGAAATCCACCAAGGCTGCTCGGATCTCCCCCTCGGCTTACATAGTAGGAGGTCTGACCTGGCCCATCAACAACCAGATCCGTCAAGGGCTTGTTGTGGACCCTGACCCTGGTACAGGCCCCCCAGACCGCCGGTTCATCCCCTCTCCATCCCGCTCCGCAGTAATCCACTGGGCCCATACCGCCAGATTGGCTAGTCATCCGGGTATACATCGCACCATTACTCTCCTCCAGCGCCATTTCTGGTGGCCGTCCATGGAGGCTGATGCCAGGGAGTATGTCTCCGCCTGCTCTGTTTGTGGCAGGAGCAAGCGCACCAACGAGTCACCGTCTGGTTTGTTACAACCCCCCAAGGTCCCCGGCCGGCCCTGGTCCCACATCTCTATAGATACCTTTTTCCGCATTATCTCAGTTGTGTTTTTCCCAAAAAGTTTTCCCTTAGGAAAGTTGATCAGGTGGTTTCCTGTTGAAAAGTTCGCCACCAATTCTGTGCTCTGTATTTAAACCCGTTTTTCTTTTTCTTTTAGAATCTTTATTTAGTTGTTGTAATACCAATTATCATTTTTTTTATAGATCTGTTGGTTTATGTCATAAAATGTCTTCTACAATCTGCTGGTTTGTGTAAAGGTTTCGTTTTTTAATCTTTACATCCCAGCAATTATTGATTGATTGAAGCATTTTATTTCTTGAACATGTAGACATTAAAAAATAAAAAAATTTAAAAATCAACATAGACATAGACCACAAAATTAGAAAAGTCACCTTTTGTTCAAGCAAAGGAGTAGAGGGAAGCAAAAGCTTATAGATACCCACCCCTATCTTATCCATATTCTCAATTAGTATATATTACTTTGAAGATTGATATCATACATACATACACACACTCTCTCACACACCCACACGCACGCATACTCACACGCACAAATAAATACAATTTAAATTTCCGTCACTGAATATTTTCACAGATCTCATATTTGGCTAATGTGTATAATTTAAGATGTTTATTGAACTGTGCAATATGTTTACAATCTTTGATCTTATCTGGTAAGTTGTTCCACAACTTCACCCCACAGACCGATATGCACCTGCTTTTGAGTGTAGAGTGCACCTTTGGTTGCCTCAGTTTCAGTCTCCCTCTTAAATTATAGTCTCCTAGTCTGTCGCTAAACCAACTTTGAATGTTTCCTGAGAGTAGGCTGTTTCTTGCTTTAAATACAATCTGTAACGTTTTAAAATCTTTCAAGTCCATAAATTTTAATATATTTAATTTCAGAAATAATGTGTTTGTGTGTTCATAGTACCCCACCTTATTAACTATCCGTATTGCTTTTTTTTTAATTGTGCATATTGCCTGTAGGGTGCTTTTGTAGGTATTACCCCACACTTCCACACAGTAACTCAAATAGGGGGCAAACAGTGTACAGTACAGTGTATGCAGTGATTGTATATTCAATATATGTCTGACTCTGACTAGTATCCCTACACATCGTGCCAATTTTGAGTGTACACGAGTGACCTGTGGCCTCCAGCTGAGCTTGTGGTCTATCATTACACCTAGAAAGGAGTATTCAAACACCCTTTCGATTTTTATATTTTCGATCTTTAGTTCAATGTGTGTGTTTGCTTGTGTGTTACTTTTACCAAAGACCATAAATTTGGTTTTCTTTACATTAAGTGATAATCTATTTATATCAAACCACAATTTCAGCTTGGTTAACTCAGTCGAGACCGCCTCCAACAACTGTTCGAGGTTCCCTCCTTCACAGAATACATTTGTGTCATCTGCAAAAATAACATTTTTCAGGATCCTGGAAGCATTACTTATGTCATTTATATAAATAATAAATAGTTTTGGACCCAGTATTGATCCTTGCGGCACACCACAGGTAATATTTCTTAAGGTGGACTTCTTATCCCCTATCTGTACAAACTGTTTTCTTTGTCCTATGTAACTTTGTACCCAATTTAGTCCAACCCCTCTGATCCCATAGCTTTCCAGTTTGTGTAGCAGTGTATCATGGTTTATTGTGTCAAATGCCTTCTTCAGATCTATGAAGACCCCTATTGCCATCTTTTTGTTATCTATTGTGCTTGTCAGTTCTTCTACTAAGTCCATGAGTGCCAATGATGTTGATCGGTTTGGCCTAAAACCATATTGACTATCTATGAGTAATCCATGTTTATCTATGAAACTGTCCATCCTTGTAGCAAATATTTTTTCCAAAATTTTGGAAAATTGGGAAAGCAGGGAGACTAGTCTGTAGTTATTGTAAAGGTTTTTTTCACCTTCTTTAAAAATCGGAATTACCTTAGCAGTTTTCATTTTGGTTGGAAAGAAGCCCGTTTGAAGTGAAACATTGCAGATATGTGCTAGGGGATCTGCTATATTAATAATGACTTCTTTTACTATTGTCATATCAATACCATTCCAGTCTCTTGATGTTTTTTTTTGAAGTTATTAACTATGGCAATCATTTCATTTTTATCGGTGTCTTTCAGAAAGATAGTATCTGGGTTCCTCTTGCCCAAATAATGTGCTACGCATCCCCCTTGAGGTAGGTTTATCTGCTCTTCTAGTTTAGGGCCCACATTTACAAAGAAATTATTCAAAGCCTTCTACCATCTCCTTTTTGTCATTAATAGTCTTATCATTATCTAGAATTTCTTCTGGCAATCCAGAGCTGGTCGATTGATTTCTTATAATTGAATTTAAGATCTTCCATGTTTCCTTTATATTATTTTTATTTTTATCTAGTAGTTTACAATAATAATCCTTTTTACAATTTTGCATAATATCAGTTAATTTATTTTTATATCTTTTATACTTCATTTCTTTCTCCTTATTTCTATTCTTGATAAACTCTTTATATAAGAAGTTCTTCTTTTTACAGGCGTTCAACAGACCCTTTGTAAGCCAAGGTTTATCTGAGCGATTTGCTCGTTTTCTGCTTTGCTGAATTGGACAGCATCTGTCATATAACATCAGAAAAGTTTGCAGGAAGGAATCATAAGCATAATCAACCTCCTCTGCCTCATAAACCTTTCTCCAGTTTTGTGCACTTAATTCATTTCTGAACTTGTTTAGATTGTCAACCGTTCTTAATCTCCTTTCTATCATTTCATTCCTTTCAGCCAACCTAGGTGTACCGCTGTAGATTGCAAACACCGGCAGATGGTCACTAATATCATTTAATAATAATCCACTTTCTATATTATCTATTAGGTTATTAGTAAAAATATTATCTATAAGTGTTGCAGAGTGGACTGTAATTCGACTAGGTTTAGTAATAGTAGGATACAAGCTTCTGCTGTACATTGCATCCATGAATTTCTCTATCGGTGTTAGTTTGTTAGGATTCAGAAGATCGATGTTGTAATCGCCACAGATGTTATTATCTATTATTAACTTTTTCTAACCAGAAATGTAAGTGTGGCATGCAACCTTCAAACTAGCCAGCTCTGTGCATAACTTCGTTCTGACTGCTGCTGTAAAAAAGGTATTAACTGCTGTGAACTGGTTTCCAGTGGTGGAAACTTCAGTCCTAGCTTGAAACCGAGGAAGGGGAAGACTGGCCCAGTCACAAATCAAGAGCAAAAAAAAGCCATTTTGTGAGGACAACTCTAAAAAAATGAGGGTGAGGTGTTAAATGAAAATAAAGGAAATGCAATCTCGCTTTACAAACTCCAATTGTGCCGCGGGAGTAGCAGAGTAGAGTAAAGCAACAAGGTACGAAAGGCTGTACTTTGTCTTCATTATTAGTGTTCAATGACGCGGGGGGGGTCGGGTATCTTCGCTGACATCATATACAGTGGAGACAAAGAAACCACTGAATATTCTGCACGTTGTATATATTGCATGCTGCCACAAAACCGAGTCTATGGAAAAAACATGTCTTTGTTTCTGGGCTCACGAGCAGGACGTTGCTTCATCAATGCTTCAAAATGTTCTTCCCCACATGCTTGGGTCTGTCTGTCGTGTTTCAAGACAGCCACTGCAGCAAAATGGTACATAGTTTTTCTACCATGACGTGCTGTAGCTAAATGGAAAAATAGGTTTCTATTGGAGCCATAAATCCTGAATCCCACACTGACTGTTGGTCTGTCACAATGTCACATGTCTACAGGATCAGTAGTGGCTGACAAAGAAGATGCCATGTCGAGCTGATAGCAACAGAAACGTGCCTCCCCACTGAATGATGTGCATAGCAACATTGCTTCTTCTCTTTTCCTTTCCTTCTCAAGCTCTTGTTAACATTTTGCAAAGGATGTAGTTTAACTTTGGGACCTCACGCCCGGATTGCTTGCTGCCGCTGTCACTGTGTCACGTGCCTAGAGGGAGGTGGTTGGCGAGCCGCCAACAGGTCTCCTTCCGCACGAGGCAGCATGTCTGAAAAAGCTTCACGGAATGTTAGCTGCTTATTATAAGCAATGGGCTACCCAGTGGAAGATCAGGGACCGCAGATGCCAGCAAAAGCTGCTCTGCTTCAATTTGCGTAGATGTGGACGGTTGACTTTCCATACAAAGCGTGTGAAGTCATGGGCAGCTGCGATGGTAGTTACATTTCCATTCTACAGCGGCGGAGATGACGGTGATGTCTGTCTTCGATGGGCCCACAGTAGCTGGTTGAGAACATGTACGGGGTCTAGCGTGCTTCCTTTGCATTCGAATTTTCAGTCTGGCCGCGGAGACGTGAGGACAATAAGACAAAAGGACTAATGATAATAATAATAATAACAGCTGGCCCCGCTTTCAAGATCTACAGTAAACAATACATTTAATATAACATCACATCCACTGAGTGAGTGTGTGAGGTCTTGTAATGGACAGGGTCTTCATTCCACACAATGTCGCCGTTCAATAATAGTGTAAATATCTCGGATGTATTTTTCCCAAATGATTCATACAATAAAAAGATAGACAGCCAATGCTTCTCCAGTCACTTCTTTAAACATGAAAATCTTTTCAACCGACCTTTACTCTTTAAATGTAAGGAAGAGTGCTTCCTAAGTAGGACGTACACAGAGGCACATCAGGTTGGCCAATGAAACGCGGTCTGTCTCTAACGAGTGGAGAGTTTTAAGAAGATCTTCATTCAACAAAGTAATTTGAACATAATAACATCTTCAAGGTTTGCCGTCTATGTGACATGGTTGTTCTTGTGGAAGATGGGTGAGTTGTGTTTTTGTTTCTTTTCATTTCAGTTTATATATTATATATGTCATATATTATACAATATATATATATTATGTATAAAAAAATGCTTTTTGCTTTTTTAAAGTTGTTTTGGTGTTTAACTTGTTTCTAACCTAAATGCTTATATTTGTATACATTTATAAATGTATATAATACATAATCATGATTGCTTTGTATCTCTTCAGCTCATGCAACTGATCTAAAATTGCCGTCACCTGTGCATCAAGAAAAAGGTTTTGCATCAGTCGATGTTGGAGACAGAATTACTTTGCAATGTTTCTATCAGAATAATGTTGGATCATGGCTTTACTGGTTTAAGAAAATGATGGAACAACAACCAAAGCTGATCTCCTCCTTCTATACGTACAACCAAAATGGCACTTTTCATCATGAATTCAACAATAATCCACGCTTCACACTGGATAATGAAAAAGGTCAAAACCACTTGACAATTTTTGATATCAAAATTTCAGAATCAGCAACTTACTACTGTGCATCTAGCACTTCATATATGTTGACTTTTGCCGAGGGCACTGTGGTCAGAGTGCAGGGTTCTAGTTCAAACATTCCAACTTTAATCCATCAGTCACCATCAGAGACCATCAAGCCAGGAGGCTCTGTGACTCTGAACTGTACAAACTGGGACCTGTGATGGACAACACAGTGTTTACTGGTTCAAAGACTCTGAAGAATCTCATCCAGCACTCATTTACACTGATGGAGGCAGCACTGATCAGTGTGAGAGGAAAGCCAACACACAAACACACAACTGTGACTACAACCTGCCGATGGAGAGGCTGAATCCGTCTCATGCTGTAACCTACTACTGTGCTGTTGCCTCGTGTGGACACATTCTGTTTGGAAACGGACCAAGCTGGACTTTGAGCGTAAGTTACTTGTTTTACCTGAGGTTTGATTAAGTGATAATCCAGCTCATCAGATGAATAGTTGTTGTTTTTCGATCAAACTTGACATGAACACAAAGATAAAAGCTGAAGCTTCTTTGCTGGTTTCTTACTCTGCAGAGGAGGGCGACCATCTTCTCCTGGTGTATTTATTGAGTGGAGCTTTGGTATTCACCACCATCCTGGTGGTTTTACTGGGTTTTTTGGTCTACAAGCTGAGTAAAAAAAAAGCTGTCAATGTTCAGGTAAATTGACTGCTTGTATTCTATAAATATACATTTTTAATGAATAGAATTTCTGTTTTTCACCATCACGCAACTCAGCTCCCTCCACAGGACACACAGATGGCAACTTACAGAGCGTTTTGGTAAGCGTTTTTTTTTGGTTAGGTAAAATATAACAAGGACAAAGGAGATTTCTTTTTAATGCTGGAATGTTTATTTTCAAGCATTGATCAGTTATTAATTGGGTGTCTTGTTGTTTGTTAAAGTTGCAGAGCTGTGTGAAGGATCAGGTTCTAACAGATGAGATATATGTATGCTTTGATGTATATCTGGTTGTAAGCAGGATGTGTTCACATTGCAAGCTTTATTTAACTATTTTGTATCTTTTTGTTTTTCTAAAAAACATAGTTTACATTCAAACGCTGCTTTAAGAATTGACCTTTGTGTAATTCATGAGTCATCCTTTAATCCAATAATATAATCCCAATACTTTACCAATACCGTTTTGGCCTTTCATTTACACAAAAACAGAGGTTTTATCACAGAAAACGATCATTTCTAAAAACTCCGTCCAAAGTGGAGATTTCTGAAAACTCTGTTTTTGTTTTTGCGTGTGAACTAGGTCAAACAGAGTTTTAGGTTGTCAAACGTCACAGTATGCGACTAAAAATGTTTTACGTCTTGTGAGCGTCGAATTCTGATTTGTTTGCATGTCTTTATCCTTCTCGTTACACTGCCGACTACAGGTTTGACATAGTTATGATGGCGCCCGGGGCCGTATTCATGCGGGTTTAAATAAACAGAAACTTTTTTGAAAACGGAGGGGCAGAAATATTAGTTTCTGTAAATACCCGGCTATGTTAAAATGGTGCCTAAGTCGCTCCACTCTTTCCATATGCCAGATTGCTTGCTGATTGGAGGTGTCAAGGGTGGTGGAGGGTTGCGTCTGGTGCTGCTGAAATGACAACTGACAGCAACAGAGAGGAGAACAGCTTTTAACGTTGACAGCACTGATGCGATTAGTTTACAGATATGGTGACTCCGCCCTCTATCATCTTATGGCACATAGACAGCGGGGGGCCCCTGGGGCAGGCATTAGCTTCTCCAGTCTTCATGACTGAATTTACGCCTCAGCTTCATATGTGAGAAGTTATAGATAGGATTGTAGGTCCATCCAGTCCAGTCGGTCGGATGGGTTGTGGGGAGCTACATCGGAGGGAATGCCATGGCGCCCGGGCACAACAAACTCCTCCTGCACCGTACGCAAAGGGTAGAAAGAGAGGAGGGAGAGAAAAAGGGGAGGGTGGGATTTGGAATGCGTCAACGGACAAGACTGGGTCAGTGTTGAAGACGTAGTCCTGCTCCCGAAATTACGCCTATTCGCTTCAAGTTCATTTAAGTTTGTCTGTCTTTGGCTGAGTGCCTAATGTTTAAGTTGACTTTAAAGACTAACAAGTCATTTGAAGAGAATTTCCTGTGAGTCACATGAATAACGAAACAAACAACCTGTGACAAAATGTCAACTTTTACCCACGACAACGTTAGGCTTTTGACTGATGAAAGTAACAAATAACAAGTCAGCTGACAAAGCTCTGTAGTGATATACAACCCGAGTAAGGAGAAAATAAGGTGAAGTTGTTATTTACTTAACCACAATAAATAACATAGTTTAAAACTCCAATGCTGTCGCACAACAAATATTGTAAATGTGTCTAATCAGAAAACAAGTGTGGTTCTAGAAAGCAGCCTAGACGTTAGAATGGCAAAGGGTTTCTGACACTGCTGTTCCTCCTATGAAGGCAGTAAATAATTCAGGTATTTAAGAATGTTTGACCTTGACCTTGACCTTATCTTTGTATCTGTGCAGCAGCTGTGGTTTTCAGCAGGATGTCAACGGGTTTCGCAGCCACATAGAAGCTCCTTAAGCCGAAGACCTCTAAAACAAACAGGTTCTTTGGAGTGCTTATGAAAATCTTATGCCAATGAAACTAAAAGCTTATAAAAAACAACTGATGGTAATTGTTCGTGAACTAAGAAAAAACATTTTGTTGAAATACTATTTATAGTGTTACTTATAAAATATGGACAAAAATTCAGAGAATAAAAAAGTTGCAAAGGGCATTTTGAAACAGAATACGATCTGTGCTCGTATGCAGGGGATGTTAATTATTTTAAGCTTCAATTTAGCAGAATGACAGTTGACTCAGTAAGCAATCCAGGACATTCTTCATTTAACATATACGCAATATTTTATCACTTGATGTTGAAAACAAATCAAAGGGCCGGATGTGTCTGTATCTATTAATGATGACAATGTTGAGCCAAACTGGACTCCACTCTAAAGTTGTTATTATTGCGCAATAATCTATACGCCTGAGATCTTTTTATTCTTTTTTGACACTTCTGTCACCATGAAAATCTTTTCAACGTAACTTTACTCTATGAAGGGAGAGTGCTTCCTCAGTAGGACGTTCAGCACAGAGTCACATCAGGTTGGCCAATCAAACGCAGTCTGTCTCTGAAGAGTGGAGAAAGTCTTAAGATGATCTTCATTCAATGCGAGAACTTGATCACGATGACATCTCCAAGGTTTGCCGTCTATGTGACATGGTTGTTCTTGTGGAAAATGGGTGAGTTGGGTTTTTGTATTTTAACTTTTCATGGAAATGCTTATCTTTATATACTGTACATACATACACATGCATTTAAGTTATAAAAGTAAGTTCTTTGTTAAGGTTAAGTAACTTTTCATGAAAATGCTTTTCTTTTTCATATCATTTATATAATACATACATACACTTTTACATTACATGTCATTTAGCTGACGCTTTTATCCAAAGTGACTTACAATAAGTGCATTTAACCACAGGGTTATAAACTCAGAAGAGCAAGAAACAAGAAAGTGCAATTTCATATAATAAGCCAATTTACAATTTGCTATAGATAAGTGGCATTATAAGTACAAATTAAGTGCTACGATTTGTTAATCTTTTACACTCACACTTAAGATATATATATATATATATATATATATACTCTCCAGCCCCCCCGCGACCCTGTGTATAGGATAAGCGGTTTGACAATGGATGGATGGATGGATATATATATACTGCATTAAAGAAATAAATGAATATATTTTGATGGTATCTCTTCACATTTGAGCTTTTTGACTTGTGTTTTTGTGTAACTTTGTTGGAAATGCTTACATCATATACTGTATGTATATATATATATATATATATATAATCATTTATACTGTATATAATAATTATAATTACTTGGTATCTCTTCTCACTTCAGCTCATTCAACTGATCTAAAATTGTCGTCACCTGTGCATCAAGCAAGACGTTTTGCATCAGTCGGTGTTGGAGACAAAATTACTTTGGAATGTTTCTATCAGAATAAAGGTGGAGAATGGCTTTACTGGTTTAAGCAAATGTTTGGCCAACAACCAAAGCTGATCTCTAACTTCTATACGTACAACAAAAAGGAAAATTTTCATCATGAATTTGAGAACAATCCACGCTTCACACTGGATAATGAAAAAAGTCATAATCACTTGACAATTACTAATTTGAATATTTCAGACTCAGCAACTTACTACTGTGCACATAGCACTTCATTTCTGTTGACTTTTGCTGAGGGCACTGTGGTCAGTGTGCAGGGTTCAGGTTGGACCGTCCCAGCTTTGCTCCATCAGTCACCATCAGAGACCATGAATCCAGGAGGCTTTGTGACTCTGAACTGTACAGTACAAACTGGGACCTGTGATGGACAACACAGTGTTTACTGGTTCAAAGACTCTGAAGAATCTCATCCAGGACTCATTTACACTGATGGAGGCAGCACTGATCAGTGTGAGAGGAAACCCAACACACAAACACACACCTGTGACTACAACCTGCCGTTGGAGAGCCTGAATCCGTCCCATGCTGGAACCTACTACTGTGCTGTTGCCTCGTGTGGATACATTCTGTTTGGAAACGGAACTAAACTGGATATTGAGGGTAAGTGATAATCCAGCTCATCAGATGAATGGCTGTTTGTTTTTTTAAATCACACTTGACTTAAAGATAAAAGCTGGAGGCTTCTTTTCTAGTTTCTCACTCTGCAGACGAGGGTGACCATCTTGTCCTGATGACATGTTTCTGTCCTCTATCCTTTTGCAGATGAGCTGGTCTCTCCTTTCATCGTCTATTTCTTAAGTGGAGCTTTGGTATTCATCACCATCCTAGTTGTTTTACTGTCTCTTTCAGTGTGCATGATGAACAAGACAGACAGCTGCCAAAGCACAGGTAACTATAGATGTTTGTATCTTGCAGCTTGGTTTCACTTAATGCAGCTTTTTGAATTAAAGAGCTTTTTCTGTTTTAAGAATCTCAAGCAAGATATCCTGCTTCCTCCACGGCAAATGCAAAGGTGAATAAGAACTATTTAACTGCTGCCTTACATTTTAGTACCTTTTCATTCTTGCTGCATATTTTTTCAAGTAATAATGATCAACTAATATGTGATTTATTACGAGGTTTACCAAAAGAAAGAAATCCTGTATTACGTGGCTATAAGTGTCCACCTGCACAACGGATCAAGAAGACAGACGGATCAGACCTGGAGTGAATGTATTTACTACAGCGTGAAGCAGTAGAACTCGACATATGACAAGGTTTTCTCTTTTGAACTGTAATGAAGGTTTTGATAAAAGTTAAAATAGAAGTCTATTTTTTGGTAATTTGCATAAATATGATACTCATTTCTTCTGTAAGTGGTGAGAAGCATCTTCAAACCATCTATCATTTTTAAATCAATAAGGCAAGGCAAGGCAATTTTATTTGTATAGCGCTTTTCATACACAAGGCAGACTCAAAGTGCTTCACATCATAACATTTCATACAATAAAGGGAAATAAAATGCAGGAAAATGCAGGAATTAAAAGACAATTAAAAACAGCAAATAAATTAAATGTCTTAACTATTAGAAGCTCAGCTCCGCAGTTTCAGATCTGCGTTTTGTGTTCAACCTCATTGTTGTTTTCTATAACCAAATCAAATTGGGTTATTTGTATGTGAAATTAATGTAATCAATGATAATAACTAAACAGGAAAAGGAAGGAGCTTTTTTTTGTGACATAAAATCCTGCTGCTGTAGTTGATAATCAGTTAAAAACTGACAATTACTGGACGATTGAAGATTTATTTTACAGAAAGAAAGCACTAAAACATATTAATACAAACCCATTTAACACCCTCAACCTCCAGCCGGTGAAAGAGCCTGCTGGTTCCTGTTTGAAACTTAAACACAGTCAGAAGGTTCAGACTCTCCTACTGTTAAATTCAGGCTAACATAAATGTATAAATGTTCATAGCCTAGCCTATGATATAGTAAACCTCATCACTTACCAATAGGGGACCAGTCCTTAATGATGGGAATAATTTCAGAGACTTAGTTGATTTTTGTTGCCTAAAATCGCCTTAGTCACATTGTCTTTTGACAAAAGTGAGCTCCTTAGTGCCAAACCGTGGAAACACCAGCCAACGTTTGACTTATGGATCGCATAGATGTTGGAGGATGATCCCTATAAAAGAACAGTATTACCAAGATATTGCAATCTGAGACTCCTCCCATCACAGCCCTGGAAAGGGAGGAATGAGGAGTATTGGCTATAAAACGGGCATTTCAGACGGACTAACAGTCAGGGGGAGAGTAGCTGGTTGTTTTGAACATTGAAGGAAATAAATGTTCACGTATCAAGCCAAATATAAGAATTAGTATGAAAGTGAACAAAAAAAAAATTGATTGAATTTCTTTTTTTTTCTTATCAACCAAAAATTTCGCGAACCCCCTACAGTACCTCCGCACTAGAGAATGAACTGATAAAGAACTGTGTGTACTGACGAAGTCCTAAACGAAGTCTAGTACTGGTTGCTAATATGGTGGATTAGTTTAGACGTGCGCCCGGTGCGCTCAAACACAGCAAAACGGAGAGTTCTCTGATGTTACAATTACCTTGCATGTTTATTTTACATCCAAATATTGCAAAACTTTAACTGATAATACATGTACCCCAAATAACAAACCGCATTGCTCACCACAAAGGCACACCCGCACACTGGCACAGTCGAAAACTGTTTGCTTCCCAAATTAGTAACACCGGTGTCTGAGATTCCTGCAGGTTAAATGGCCTACCTGGGCTGATCCGAGGTCAGCTGAGCCACAAAGCACATTCAGCCCCTTAGTGGCACAGAGCAAAATTAAATGAAATAGTACCAAATGTATATGGCTCCTACACTGTGATTAAATCTCCATCCATCGTCACATCGCGTATCGTGCACACAGGGGGGGGCTGGAGTCTATCTCAGCCACCTTTGGGCAAAAGACAGGGTACACCCTGGATTGGTCGCCAGCCAATCGCATGGCTAACACGGAGACATATGACCATTCACACTTACATTCATACACCAACGGGCAATTTAGAGTCCCCAATTAACCTGATCCCCAGTGCATGTCTTTGGACTGTGGGGGAAAGCCAGAGTACCGGAGAGAACCGATGCAGACACGGGGAGAACATGCAGACTCCACACAGAAAGGCCACTGGGCGGGGTCGAGTTGTTGTGTATGGTACAGTTTTTTGTCATGTTCATTAATGCTGTTGTATTAAAAAATAACAACCTAAAAACACATATTTCATTCTTTTTCCTTTAATCTGGTTCGAACGAACAAACTGAACAGTGTTTTTGTCTAAACATGGAGGAAATGTAGTATATATTTGTTCCTTCTCACCATCTCTGGGTTTCCTCCAACACATTCTTGTTCTTGTTAATTGTTATCCTTCACATTTCCCTCTGCTAGTCGTATTTACATCCACTGCTGTAGTGGTAAAATAAGAGGTGGGTAAACTCTGTATTTTGTGACCATAACGACCTCGACGCAGCGCAACACAAAGCATTGCAACTCTGTAACCATTGTGACTGTATGTGACTTGGGTTGCTACCCATTCATTTGAGAGACACATTCCTGTTTCTTTAAACACTCCAAGGCCTTTCACTTTTTTTTTGCATCCAAGATATTCACCATTGACAATAAGCCATGGGTTAGCTTTTTTAAACTGTGTGTGTTGATTCTCTGTCCAGATATACAGGTGGCATCTGCTCTCTTACTCCTCTCACTGTGTCTTCAGTCTCTGTATCTGCCCCTACTTCAGGTTCTAATTCAGATTATCCTGTCCCTGTTTCCTCTCTTACTACCTGTTTATTCATCTCCTTCTGCTATTCTCCTTCATCTATTTCTTCATTCTCTGTTGGTCTTCTTTCATTTCCTCCTCTTTCCTCTTTTGTTCACTCACCAGCCTCCTCACTCTTTCTATTCGACCTCCTGGTGTTTCTCCTCTCTCTGTGCTCTCTGCATCATTGCCTGTCCCATCACTGCCTGAAAAAACATCTTGAATTCAAGAGTTGTGGGGCTGAGAACACCAGTTATGCTGCCTGTCAATTACACAGACATTATAAGTTAAAGGAACACTGTACCTATGTCAGCATAAATAGCCTATTGTGACGACCCCTGCTGTGGAGGCAGCAGCCTTCCAATGAGATTTGGTGATTGAAGGCACCTGGGCCAGGTGCCCTGAGATTAGAAAGCCCTGTGTTCATTCATTGATTCTGTCGCTCTCTCCTCTCTCCAGCAGACGTCCGGTGTGGTAGGGCAGCCGCCTGTTGAATCCAATGTATACAATGTTGTGCAAACCAAAACAACGTTTAAAAACGTGAATTGATCTTTTTCAGTCTTAATTTGTACTTGAGGCCTTTTGCTGGCATCTGTGGGAGTGGGAGCACTAGATGGTCTCTTCTATGGTGGCCCTGAAGTGCAAAACACGGCAAATAGGAACGAACAACGCAAATAGGAAAACAAAATTAACTCCTTACGGAAAGGGTATGGCATTATACCCGAGGACGGATCTGTGACGACTCGAAGAGACGGTGAAGATTAACTTCCTGTTTTATTTTTGTAACCACGGCACTTCCTGTATCTAGTTTCCCCCCACAGCTGAGTTTAGATTGCAATCACCCCCACCTGTATTTAAGCCTCAGTTCCCCACGTGTCTGTGTCAGGTTATCTTTTGTGTTTCCTAGAGGTGTATGTTTGTAGTTAGAAGTCCCCAGTGCTGTTTTTGGTAAACTTGTTTTTTTACTTCGTTGCCAGGCTCTCTTCCTTTTTTTGTTTCTTCAAGAGCGTGTGGATTCCGCCTTTGCCTGTGCACCCTTTTGTCTTGCATTAGTTTATTTTTCTAGTAAAGGATTTCAAACCTGCAAAGAACCTTCTGTGCCCTATTGCTCTGCACCTGAGTCGAAGTCCTGACCCCTCACAGGATCCTTCTGATTGGACCGTAGCGTCCGCGGCCGTAGCGTCAGCGGTAACCCCCCCTCTCCTTTTATTTACTTTTGTTTACAACACCTAAATAACATTTAACACCTAAATATAATTGAACAGTGTTAAGACACTCTTAAAACATCGCCATCTCTCCGTGACTTTCTGCTGCGGCTCTCCTACTCCGCTCACTTCCACCCCTCACACTGCATGAAAAGTGGGATTTTCGGCAGTATGCGGCACTGTAAATTGTCGTGGAATTTCAGGTTTGCGGCAATTTGCGGGCAACGCCGAAAACTGCCGTAAATTGTCAGAAATTGATGTGGGCCTCCCTTGGCAGTTGTCCCCCCATGACCCCCCTCCTCCTAATTCTATGGGAGGCTTTGACATGTAAATGAAAATGCTGTGAGCTATACAAATGCAAATCAGGGTCGCAGAGGGAGTTTTAGCCCAGGTGACATTTTTTTAAAAGGTAAGAAAATCTCTGGTACAAATAGACCAGGCTCAGTAGCCTAATTATAGACTCTTACATTTTAGCTTGAATTGATTCATTTAATTCAAATATGCTAGATTACTGTGTACGCCATTAGCAATGGCAAATGTTATATAAAAAAGATAAACAAAATAACTTCTTTAAAAAAGTTTTAATCAAGGTAAAATGAGCATTCCATGCAAACATTTGAATCAGAATGAGGGGTCTGCAGAGATCAGTCTCCTAGAGCTCAACTACAGTGCATAGTGGCAGGACTACAGTGACCTTTTCTTTGGTCCTACTTAAATGCACAGAGGATGTATTAACCAGACATCTTGTAGCAATGCGCTCAACTGGCAGAAATGATGCTGGGTATGACGTGTCTGTTCCCTGCAAGCCCCAAACTTCTATTGGCTTTCCATAGAAATGTCTGTCCGGGTGGGGATGAAGCCAGGAAACTTGTGCAAGAACATGTTTAAATGCCGTACCCTTTGACACAACATTAACAACTATAAACTGCTTTATAATGGCTGGTCGTAGTTCTGCTAAAGGGTCAAGGACGGGTTCCTCAAAACTGTTAGTGTTTCCACACCACTTGGATGCTCCACCACCTTTATGCTCTGCATCTATCGATTGAGTAAGTTACATTCATATATGTTACCCGTTTACATGTCATGGCAAAACATTCAACCTCAGTGACACAAGGGTACATCTGATGATACATTGTCAACATTGCATGTCTGTCAGACTCAAGACTGTCTGGTGGAATGGAGAAAGAGGCACCACTGTACAGTTTTCTAGGGAAAGTCGTTCTGCTGACACCAAAACACTGTGCTTTACATAAAGCATATCAGCTGTTTCAAAGTCCCAACCATTTGTCTTCCTAAAATACTGGTCCTTCCGTATAACAATAACCTCGAATGTGATTGGAGGACCCTTAGACTCCTCGTCCAATCACGTGTGAGGTCATAGGCATGACTGATACAGCAGTACTTGCAAGACGAGCATACAAACAGACACGTGTGCGTTACTATATTCAGAAGAACTGTATCTCCAGTTCCTTTGTTTGGTTTTTGCTGGTTCGTGAATAATGGCTGGACGACGTCTCGCGTTCAACTCGCCTTCAACTCCTCTCCGCGGTCACCAACTTTCGGCCACTCCGCAGACAGACGAGAAGATGCTGCTGAATGCTCTCAGTGGATCGTCTCGTCAACTCCAACAACAAACTGCCGATATCAACGAGCGGTTCGCTCCACTGGAGCGTTCGGGACTCTGCGGGTTTCTGTCCATGGAGGAGAGGAACTGACTCAAAGAAGAGGAGACGGGCGCACGATCCCAAGATAGCGGTAAGAATACGTTCGATGACTGCAAGCTAAGCTAAGAGTAGCGTAGCCTCAAACGAAAGCTAAGAGTAGCCTAGTAGCCTTACAAGTGAGCAGAAACAGCTTTATTAAAGTGTGTTTTCTTTGCCGTGTCGTTTACAGGAAGCGGTGCGCCGTCTTCACAACGCCGAGACGAATTACAGGCGCTACGAACCGGAGCAAGGGTAAGATTTAAAGAATATGCTTTCATTCTGCGCTATAAGGGAATATATACGTATGGATACCAACCATAACTGTACATTTTGTTTTCACAGACTAATCTCGCCGTGACCTCGCGGTGACCTCGTATTTGCTCCGGGAAAAGTCCAGATTTAGACAACGTAATTGTGTGTAAGTGACACTGTTTACTGTTTATCCTTTCTTGTTAAATGTTACTGTGACTTGCGTTTGATTTTTTTCGTATTCATACCACACTCATTTAATTGTTTTCCAGCCACCTGTAAGACGTATTTTGAGACGGGACGCAGGAGCTTCAGGTTCAGCCGGAACACTCATTGCGGGCGGAAGATGCGAAGGATTCAGCGCGGAGTCGAGCGAGAAAAAAGACGGTCAGAGTTTATTTGCTGACTTTTTCAGGTGCATTGATAGATGTGTTGTGTCCATACACATCGCACAGTACTGATTCATTGTTGTTTTTACAGCTGCTGGAATCGAGACAAAGTGTGCTGGCTGATGACGAGGTGGAACTCTGGAAATCCGCCACCGTGGAGCTCACGTCGGACGGAGAGGACGACGTTATTGGCGGGGTCTCGGGGTGGATTGTATGGTCGCCACACACACGAGCTGCCTGCACGACAGACCTGCCTCGGAAAACACTGCGCCAGTGACGGTCTACAACCCCGAGGAGGCAAACGGACAGTTTACTGAGCTGTAGTTTTTAAATTGTGGGCAGATCCTCACTTTGTATGTAGTTGTTGTTTGTGTGTTGTTAATAAAGCTTTCTTTGCATAAACATGTGGCAAATGTTAATTTTCTCTATAAATTCATTGATGTCCTGGTTGGTATCCTAATAATAGTGTAGTAGCCTACATAGGATAACCATGAAATGAATATACAGCATAATATGAATATATAAATAAAATGAGGCGGGTGACCAATCACGAGTGATTGAAAGTTGTGGTTTCATCCAATCATGAACAAGGAAACTCAAGCCTGGTCTGCACACGTGTGGTTTTGCTGCCAATCAGGAGTGATTTTATTTGTTCGTAAGTTGTGGTTTCATCCAATAAGGAGTAAGGATATTCAAGCCCGCTCGGCTCGGCCACACGCGGTTTCGCTGGATTCATATGCTAATTCGGGCCATTCGCACCTCCGCCAGCTCTCCACCTACGTCATGGTTCGTTTCCGACAATTTGTGGCACAGACAAGCGCGACATGCGCGGGTTGCAAATTGGCGGAAATTGTCAGAAATTAGGGAGATTTCCGGGCGTTTACGGGGACGAAAATCTCACTTTTCATGCAGTGTCATCACAGGCTCTCCCGCCACTGATTTATTGTGTGTTTACATACTTCCTGGATGGATCCTAATTGGTGTTGCCGCCGCAACCGCAAGACGCTGATTGGAAGGTCACAGACCATACAGCGCAGATGAAAATGATTCAGACTACAGCGTTTATATTTTCAACAATATGAAACGTGGTCTTAGGTGTTTTAAAATGACACCAAATATACTTATTCCAACGGAAGAATACAAGGCGCGGGGAACTTTGAGGTGCGTGAACGCCACTCCGAGGTGGGTAAACGCTATTTCCAAAATTCCAGAGATTCATGTGGGCTTACCCTCCACTACAGCCCTGTTTACATCTATGGCATGCTGCCCCTCCTTCCTATCCACCGTGAGAGAGCTGAGTGTACTTTATTTCAGCATATCAAGAAAGGATGATTTGTGGAAACTCCTTAAAACATGTGTTGATTTTTGATACAAATATAGAGTTATCTCCCACTGATTTAAGTTGTGTTAATCATATGTATCTAATTATGTGAACAAGTTGCGCAATATACTAATTTGAATGGGTGGCAGTGAGCATGTGATCGTCTTTCCTGAGTAGGATGTACTGTCACTTTTTGTTGGCCAATCAAACACTTCGTCTTGTGAGTGAAAAATGTAGAAGGGATGAAGATTGTTCTCATTCAACACAATCATTTCAACACGATGACATCTGCAAAGTTTATCTTCTATCTGACATGTTTGTTCTTGGGAAAAAAAGGGGGGTTGTGTTTTAGTGACTTCAGTTTGAATCTTTTAAAGTGTGTGGCCACTCCTGATGGCATTGCAGATGTGTTGATTCATAGTATCATGAAGTGTAATCGCTTCTTCTCTTGTATCGCTTCAGTTCAGACGACCGACCTGGATTCCTCCTCATCTGTTCATCAAGGGAATAGTTTTCTATCAGTTCGAACTGGGGGAAACTTGACGTTGACATGTTTTTATGAAGCCGGTTCAGTAGCAAGGTTCACTGGTCTAAACACACTCTGGGACAGAAACCGAGGCTCATCTCATCCTCCTACACGGTAACAGAACCTATATTTTATGCTGAATTCAAGAATCCACGTTTCACATTGGATACTGAAAATGATCGGAATCACTTGACGATAACAGATCTGCAAATTAAAGACTCAGCTACTTACTACTGTGTGAGCAGTTTTACATTCAAATTGGATTTCTTGGCGATAGCTACTGTCAGTGTAGAGGGTTCTAGTTCAAACATCCCAACTTTAATCCATCAGTCATTATCAGAGACCATCCAGCCAGGAGGCTCTGTGACTCTGAACTGTACAGTACAAACTGGGACCTGTGATTGTCACGGTGTGGTTCACTTCCTGTTGTATTTTGTAGTTTTCTGCCACTCGTGTCCCCGGGTAACTTCACTTCCTGCCTTGTCCCGTCATCCTTCGTGATCGTCTAATAGTTTCCACCTGTGTCCAATCACCTGCACCTCCCTTGTGTATTTAAGCCGTGTGTCACTTGTCGCGTCATTGTCTATCGTCGTGGATGTCCGTAGTTTCATGCCTGCTGTTCTGCCCCTGGTTCCTGTGTTTTTTGGCCTTTTGACTAATAAAGTCTTTTGTTTTCCTGAGAGGTCTGCGTTTGAGTCCTGCCTCCCCCACGCATCCCTGACAGTGATGGACAACACAGTGTTTACTGGTTCAAAGACTCAGCAGCACTGATCAGTGTGAGAGGAAACCCAACACAAAAACACACACACCTGTGACTACAACCTGCCGATGGAGAGCCTGAATCCGTCTCATGCTGGAACCTACTACTGTGCTGTTGCCTCGTGTTGACACATTGTTTGGAGACGTAACCAAACTGGACGTTAAAGGTAAGTCATTTCAATCAGAGGTTTTGTTATTTATTTCTAGTAAAATACTTTTAAAGGCAATATAAAATCATCATCATCATCATCATATATGTGATATATGTCATTTTTATAGTTTTGTTCAACTGTTTTATCTCCCCTAAAGACTTAAGCTGTGTACTGTCTCCTGTTTTTGTTTCTCTACAGATGAGAAGGACTCTCATATCTTGTGTATTTCTTGAGTGGAGCTCTAACTTTTACCATCATCCTTAATGTCCTTCTGGTTTTCTTACTTTGCATGATGAACAAGAGAAACCGCTGTGAAGTAACCGGTATTGTAACAACTATTTTGCGCGCACTTCACACGTTCTTATAGTGTCAGAACTTTTCTTTCTTCTTCAGAGTCTCATGCAAGATGTTCAGCTCCCTCCACACCAAATGCAGAGGTAAGATTACTGTTTTTATCATTCAATCAGGCACAATAGTGATTCAGGACAGTTTTATTGTCTACAATGTACAATATTGTAGTTTTTTGTTTTTTGTTAGGGTGAACGAAATGAATCAAACATCCAATATGCGGTGGTAAGAGAACAAAAGATCAGCAGATCTAGAAGACAAAGAAACAACCTTGAGACTGAATGCACATACTCAACTAAAAGCAGGAGTGTACGTGCTTCAAAGGGGTACCAAGCAGACCTATGAGACGCTGAGGTCATTTTATCACTGTCTTTCTTGTGACTACATGTTGAAGCTGCAACTGATACTCCTTTCTGAAAAGATGTGCTGATCTCAAGTTTACGTGAGATAACTCTATGAATCCAGGCTGTTCATGAAGGAAAGGAAAAAAACTGGATGGAAGGTATGACATAAACAGTTACAAAACTAAAATTTGATTTAAGACCTTGGGCGGGTGTGGCAGAGTCAACATGCCTTTGGCTTTAAGTTACACGAGTCTGAGTCCATATACACATTCATTGGCTCTCTATCTGAAGGGCTTTTGTTCGTCGGCTTGCTGCTGTGAGTTATTTGTTAAACTTGAATCAAACATGATGGTGGTTTTGGGAAAATGTGTTGAAAAACCACACACAAATATCCCAGATCACCTGATATTTTTTTGTGTCACATGTAACATGTGACGTAAAAGTCCTTTTGGACAGAATGTTAGGAGTGAAAATTAAATACTAATTGTTTCAATTGTGTTTCAATGTGAAATAGTAACTTTTTGTGCAGTGGTAATAAATGCAATTGATTAATAGTCAAAATCTTCTGCCTATGAGCCTTCTATTCATGCTTTTTTTTAATACACAACTTTGTCACAAGATCCCCTGATGGCATAGAAAGAATGCAAGTTCAAGGTACTTCCACATTGGCTCTGACTTTTCAGGAACAGCGTTAGGCGTGTGGGTGCACACCTCAGCAATGCTTCAAAAACACAACACTGCGTCCTCCACTGCTCGTTGGCCTCGTTCATTTGTTTTGCTGAACAAGAAAAGTTTAACACAAATCTAAACCATTAGATAGTTTCTGAAAACATCTGTCCGTCGACTCAGTGTTCTCATCACACTCAGCTAAACCACCTACATAACTGTCAGTAGCAGTAATGTCCTAACAGGACCTGAGTAGTCCCCGTTTTCACATTTGTCACTTACTGTCGGCCAGCAAATAACGATAATCACATTTTATTTAAGATAAAAACAACGGCAAAAAGTTAAACCCGCTAAAGCTAAAAGGATTAGTTGATAATTACTGATCTCGTCAACAATTCTGCTCTATGTAAAGAACTGATTAATAGTTTATTGTAATATTTTGATTAACGATGCTAACTAACATTTCCAACATTTTGTAGAGCAAATTGTTAACATGATCATTGCTATTTGATCTGCAACATTCATGCATTTTTTATTAAATGAAGCTTAGGCGAAAATTCAGTCAGGAAGACTGGACAGGCTGTGCCGTTCCCTGGTGGTGTCCTCTCTCCCTGGGGGCGCACGGCCAGCTGATTAGGGGCGGGGTTGGGTAGCATCAGATGTGGGTGTCTTTACCGTAAACCAATCGCATTGGGGCAGGCAACTTTAAACTGTTCTCTTTTGCTGTCAGTTGTCATTTCAGCACGCTCCAAAGGCGACCTGCCACCACCCCGGACACCTCCAATCTACAGCAGAACCTGGCATAGCTGGAGAGTTATGCAACTTGGGCTCTACCACCACCAGTGTCTGGACTCCCAAGGGGGGGATATGTCTCGGCTCGAGATCCCGGCCCCGGGTCTGTCCTGCGGCAGGATGGAGTCCAAGCCCCAAACAACTTGCAATATCATATTATACCTGTTATAATAAAGCATTGTTCAAATTTCAACAAGTCTCCGGATTGAAATCATGTAAGAAAAGCTTTATTAATGTTGAGAAAGGTAATGTGGTTGCCTTCAAGAAGCAGCTCACACACACACAATATATGTAGTTCCCACAATGGGCAGCAGACAAAAATACTTAGCAACAAATTCATAACATGTATATAGAATGCCATAAGGTGTATGGATAACATCAGAAAGAAGTTCCAATCTAAAAAATAATGGGATGGATTCTGGTATTAGGACAAAAAAAAAGCGTTAAAGCTGAGTAACAAAACCTTGAAGTGAAACACATTGATAAATTTAGGTTACAAATTTGTAATGTAAATCGCTTTGGATAAAAGCGTCTGCTAAATGACATCTATGGGGTTCTGGTGTAGCCATCAATGGGCTAGAACCTTAAGTGCTGGTTGCCAATAAACCTTGCTGTCATGTCTTGGCCGGAATAGGGCCGCTTCTATGAAGCCAGCTTGGGCCCAGATTCTTCAGCCATCAATGGGCTGAAGCCCGTTTCAGTGCTGGTTGCAGATACACCCGGCTGCTATATCTCAACCAGTTTAGGCCCGTTGCTATGCCAGATTCAGTCCAGGTCTGGCAGCCATCAACGGGCCAGAACCTGTTATAGTGCTGGTTGGCAATAGACCCGGTGGCCATATCTAAGCCAGAATAAGGCCATGTCTGCAACAGCTACATCTGATCAAGATATGGCATAAATTAAATGGGCCAACACTGGCTCACATCTGGCCGCAATCATGTATATTGTTAGGTTACAATAATCAACTAATATGTGATTTGTTACTAGGGTTACCAAAACAAAAAAATTCTGAATTATATGGCTTTAAGTATCCACCCGCACAATGAAGGCGGATTAGACTTGGAGTGAGTGCATTTACTAGGCAAGGCAATTCTATTTTATTTGTATAGCACATTAACAACAAATGTAGTGCTTCCCATAAAACCATTAACATCCAAACATAAAGCAAGGAGATTTAAAAACATTTAAGAACATTGATTGAAACATAAAAGAAAGTTATTAAAAAAAAAGACTAAAAGATAAAAAATGGAATACAATTTGCAGTATGATTAAAGAATTTCTTTAAGAATTCCGAAATGCAGAAACGGTCAATTAAAGGCAGAAGAAAACAGAAGTGTTAGGGTTTAAAGGAGGGCTTTAAAAGGAGCCGAGGGAGCTGTCTAGGACTTTAAAAAGCTGAAATCGCTGCTTCCCCATGTTTAGTTTTGACTGGGAAAAGAAAATAGACCAGTCCCAGACGACCTTAGAGTTTTTAGCGGTTTCCTAAGGTATCCGCTGATCAGAAACATACTTGTCACTGCGGCACAGCGCGGAGGGCAGTGCGCTATGGCCCCCCGGGGTTCGGGAGGTCGCCGCTCCTTCTCTTGGGGTGGAGGTCCCGGAGCTTGAGACAAGCTCTTTCATAGCTCCTGGCACCGAACAAAGTTTGTCTGACGCTTCCAGAAGGGGCTCCTCACATTAAGGTAATCGGGTCCGTAATTTGGCAAAAGGTCTGCTGAGTCCTTACGTGGTCGCGTCATTCGGTCAGCAAGTGGGGAAGGCGGAGGCAGGACTCCAACAAAAATACTATAATAGTCAAAATTCCAAATCAAAATGCCAAACAGGGGGGGAGACACAAAAGGCTTAAATACACTGGGAAGGTGCAGGTGATTGGACACAGGTGGAAACAATCAGACACAGCAGACAATCACAGGACAAGGTAGGAAGTGAAGTTACCCAGCGACACAAGAGGCAGAAAACTACAATATAAAACTGGAAACAAACCCAACCGTGAATTCTGGCCAGCGGGGCATTTCTCCACAGAGAGCTTTGCTTACTTGAGACAAATTTCACTTTGGTGAGCACAGACTCCGTAATGTAGTATGTAGTGAATATTGACTGATTACACCACACACCTTCACTGCACTGATTACACCTCATGCTCGAACACTCATTTAAGCCACACTCAAACACTCTGAGCAAAGTCTTGTTTTGCTATTTTTGAACATTTCAGCGTTTATTCCTGTGACTGCCTGATTGGTTGGTTTGACTTTGCCCGTTTTCAGATTTCTCCCTGTCTGCCCTGATAGTCTGCCCGGTATTTTACCACAAGTTAGCCTTGTCTCCACCACTTGGAGCGCCACAACGCCACTTGGGATAGGCCCAAGACCATTCTTGTTAAGGCACAGAGCTGTTCACCAAAATCAGGGGTCAGAGACCATAAGGTAATTATAAAAATATACAGTTTTATTTAGTTAAATATTCTTTTTAAAATGACATGTTCTTTGTTAAGGAGTAGATTAGTGATTAGTGAAGAAAATAAAACAATTCAAATCAATAAACCAGCATGCATAATAAGGAAGTTGCAAACAAAATAACAAAAAGGAAAAGACCCACATGCAATATGTACAACGGTTAATACAATATAGAGAGCCATTTTTGTACCAGTTTCCAGATTGCTTGTGTAATCAGAAGTTTAACCAGAATCCAGAACGGTTTCAGCCGGTATGAACAGCTTCAGTGGGGAGGGAGAACGCGCCGGGGAATATTGGCCCTTTAGTCGTTGCACCAGGATAGCCCCACAATAGCATGTCCAAGGCTGCAGCCCGGTCCAGCTGTAATGTGAAACAGTTAGAACACGACTAATGAATGTACAGCAAACAGGCAAACAAAGCGATTTACCGAATTACAGGACAGGCCGCCCACGGACCCCGGCGGTGGCACCCACTTCGCACACACACACTCAGACAGCGGCCCACACTACAATTAAGACTGTCAGATTTTAATAACGCCCAAATGTGTCGAAAGAGTGAGGCATACATCGTACAGAGACACTGCACGCCAGCAGTCCAGGCATACATCCACCCACACAGGGACATCCATGACCAAGACAGGGTCGCTATATGAAAGAATGCACATTAGTGCCGCATACATGGCGACACAGGACAATAAAAGGCACAAAAGATGGAGAAAGTGCCCTTACCACACCACAGCAGAATGATGACCTCGGGCAGCGGCCAAAACATAAAGCACGCCTTCCGGACACGTCTCACAGACACCCAGCAGGAGAAGACAACAGAACGAGTCCACACACCACACTTAAGTAAGGTCCCCGCCTCTTCCAATCAATCGGAATTAGCACCAGGTATGCTGGTCCACACCCCTGTGTGCAGGTAAGAGGGAGGGAAGAGCCCTCATCCGGTCACACCTTATAACAGCAATGTCATAAATAATATGTTTTACTTGAAGCTGTCTACAAGCTCATTCACAGAGATGCAGGGGAGAGCTGGTGTGGAGGAAAACGTATGAATAGTTCACTAGTGCTTTCAGTGATGTAACGATTTTTCAATTCCTTGGTCTGGACATTTGTGTGCAAGAAAATCCTTGTTGTCGTTATCCTTATAGCCTGGACCCAAAACATGAATGTTTACCTTATACAGCATGAAGCAGTAGAAATGGACATTTCTGGAAATTTTTTAGTGTGAGTATTCCATTCGGGCACTTCTTTACACATTTCTAGCAGAGAGGTCGGTTGACCCCACCCAACAAGCGGTGACAAAACTGTGACTAACACTGGATGAGTGAAGTTGTTTTTTCTGTCTCAGAAGAGGAAATTTACTTTGCAGAAATACAAGGTAATAATGCAAAACCCGTTTTTACACTCACGAGTCTGCTCCGTTCCCCCCATCAGAGTATCTCCATCCATAGCTTGAAAAGTAACTTTAAGGCGACGCCTATTTTTCTCATGAGCCTTTGAGAGCAGAAAAGACTTTTGGGGGGGTTGGGGTGCGGGAGTTAAGGCACAAGGTGTGACATTTCAGGGGATCTATTAGCAGGAATGGAATACGATATTCATGATTATATTGTCATTTACCTGAAATGAAAAATGTGTTTTCATTAGCTTATCTACAAGGGTAGCTCGTCCTCTTGACAAAGGTATTCGTGTTTCACAAAGGCAGCCGTGATTCTACAGCCATGAACAGAAAGACTACACGTTGGCTCTAGAGAGATGCTTTCAATATTTTACATTACCTGGAGGCCACCGTAGTTTGCCCTCAAACTTGTGGAACTGTTGTAAAGTGAGTCGCTGAGTGCAAGACCGTGGAAAAACCAGCCGTAACGTAATACTTATGGATCGCGTAGATGTTGGAGGATGATCCCTAAAAGAGACTAACAGTATTACCAAGATATTTCAATCTGAGACTCATCCCACCACAACCCTGGAAAGGGGCAATTGAGGAGTATTGGCGATAAAATGGGCATTTCCGACGTACCATAAGGCTGGCGCATGCTTCTATGTCTTTACGCACCGTTGTGTCGACACACTCGTTTCATTTCATGGTTCTAAAAGCCTTACGTGTGTTGCAAAGCAGTTCCCCGCCAGAACAATAGGTGGAGTAACGTTTTTTGTCGAAGACGACCTAGAGTCACGTATTTGTGTGGGGAAGTCGTTGGTTTGTTTATTTATTTATCATAGACTTTTTTGCCCCGTGCATCTCCACTGCTGCTTTTCATCGCGGACACATTTGTCCGTATTTTCCTCCACAACTTTCTCCCCTCGACCGGCAAATCGAAGTTTGCGGAAATCTCTCTCCATGAATCGGAGGCCATCCGCATGTCCTTATAGTCCGCCAATGACGGGTTGTAGAAATGGTCATCGGTCCGACAGGCCGTTCTCTCGTAACCATTGTTCGTTTTAATAATGGCGGTATTGTGCTATGATAACGGAAATGTGAGACTCTGTAAAGGATGTAGTTATCAGACCAACGCAGCCTTGCGGGCTGTAGGAGCCTTGCGTAGCTTTTGAAGCAAGCCTAGAAAAATGGGTCGACGCGCGCAAGGATGTGTGAAAAGGCACGCAAGGGGCTCTTGCGTCTCTATGAAAACGCAGAAGCATAAACTAGTTTATCGTCAGATGAACAGTCAAGGGGAGATTAACAATTTCTTTTGATCATTGAGAGAAATACATGTTCATGTATTCACAAATATAAGAATTAGTATGAAAGTGAAAAACATGTATCCCATTTAAGTAACGAGTCCATAACAGTCTGTAAAGTTTGGGTAACACTCCATGCTATTGAATACAATGATAGATAACTGTGATTACGGTTATCGGAAGTTATTGTTTGTCACGTTGTGAATGCTGTTCTATTGAAAAATATCAATGTAAAAATGCATATTTATTTTTCATCTTTTAATCTGGTTCCAATGAGCAAACTGAACAGTATTTTTATCTAAACACGGAGGAAATGTAAATATATTTGTTCACTCTCACCATATCTGGAATCAGGAATCATTTATTGCCAAAATATGTCAAACATACAAGGAATTTGTCTTGGCGGTTGGTGCGTGACAGTTGACAGTGTAACAATAGACAACAAGACAGTAGTGCACAAGTAATAAAATAAAGTAAAATGAAATGCTAATGTTCAGCTCCCACTTGAGGTCCTCGGTGATAATGGAGCCCAGGAAACGGAAGGAATCCACAATAGTGACGGGTCACACAGGGTAATGGGGGAAGGTGGGGCTCTGTTCCTCCGGAAATCCACAACCATCTCCACTGTCTTTAGAGCGTTGAGCTCCAGGTTGTTCTGACTGCACCAGGACACCAGATGGTCAGACTCCCACCTGTAGGCGGACTCATCCCCACCAGAGATCAGTCCAATGAGGGTGGTGTCATCCGCAAACGTCAGGAGCTTGACGGACTGGTGACTGGAGGTGCAGCTGTTGGTGTACAGGGAGAAGAGCAGAGGGGAAAGAACGCAGCCTTGAGGGGAACCGGTGCTGATGGTCCGAGAGGCTAAGACATGTTTCCCCAGCTTCACGTGCTATTTCCTGTCAGACAGGAAGTCTATAATCCAATTGCAGGTGGAGTCGGCCACGTGCAGCTGGGAGAGTTTGTCCTGCAGCAGGGACGGGATGATGGTGTTGATGGCAGAGCTGAAGTCCACAAACAGGATCCTGGCGTAGGTTCCTGGGGAGTCCAGATGCTGGAGGATGTAGTGGAGGGCCATGTTGACAGAATCGTCCACAGACCTGTTGGCTCTGTAGGCGAACTGCAGGAGGTCCAGGAGGGGGTCAGTGAGGGACTTCAGGTGGGTCAGGACTAGCCGTTCAAAAGACTTCATGACTACAGAGGTCAGGGCGATAGGCCTGTAGTCATCGAGTTCTGTGATCCTGGGCTTCTTGGAAACAGGGATGATGGTGGAGGCCTTGAAGCAGGCTGGTACATGGCATGCCTCCAGGGAGGTGTTGTCAGTGAACACCGGAGACAGCTGGTCAGCAAAATGCTTCAGTGTATGAGGGGAAACGGAGTCCGGACCGCCTGCCTTACGGGGATTTTGTCTTTTAAAGAGCCGGTTAACGTCTCTCTACAGAATAGAGAGGGTCGTTGCTGGTGGGGGAGGAGAAGGTGATATAGATGTAGAGGCGTGAGCACCTGATGGGCTGGGGGAGGGAGGGGTGGGGGACTGCAGCAGGTTGGTGGAGCTGTGGGGGATGGGATCAGGACATTGTCTTTCAAATCTGCAGTAGAACTCATTCAGCTCGTCTGCCAGGCGGAGGTCATTCATGGAGTGGGGGGTTTTTGGCTTGTAGTTGGTGAGGTGTTTGAGGCCTCTCCAAACCGAAGCAGAGTCACTTGCTGAGAACTGTTGTTGGAATTTCTCAGAGTACAGTCCTTTAGCATCTCTCACCGTCTTGCTAAACTTGTATTTTGACTCTGTGTACCGATCTTTGTCCCCACTCCTAGATGCCTGATCCTTCTGCAGGCGTAGTGTTCTGAGTTCCGCTGTGAACCAGGGTTTGTCGTTGTTGTAACTCACCCTGGTGCATGATGTTATATAGCTGTCCTTACAGAAGCCGATGTAGGAAGTTACAGCCTCTGTGAACTCATCCAGACTGTCAATAGCAGTCCTGAAAACATCCCAGTCTGTGCAGTCAAAGAACCCCCGAAGATCCTCCAGCGCCTTACTGGTCCACTTCTTGAATTCCCTCACCACAGGTTTGCAGAGCTTTAGTTTCTGCCTGTATGCAGGAATCAGATGGACCATGAATCAAGCGAATCTCACGGGGGGAATAAAAGGGTTTGCAGTTGGTGAAGAAAGTTTCCAGATCAGGAGAACAGTGTTTTAGGATCACCGTTACGTCGTTGCACCAGCTGTTGTTGAAGTAGAAGCAGATTCCTCCACCCTTTGTCTTGCCGGAGAGCTCCGTGTCGCGGTCTGCTCGGAGCAGCTGGAAGCCCGCCAGCTGGAGCGCAGGGTCCGGTATCAATCCGCAGAGCCACGTCTCCGTGAAGCACAAAACGGAGGATGTGGAGAAGTCTCTGTCTCTCCTTACCAGCAGCTGAATTTCGTCCAGTTTGTTGCACAGTGAACGCACGTTGGAGAGAAAGATACCTGGCAGCGGAGTGCGAGAACCACACTTGCGGAGTCTTACCAGCGAGCCGGCCCGTTTCCCTCCACGTCTCACCGCGTGACGAAAGGTGAGCGCACCTTTGACTATAATGTCCAGTAATTCCACGGAAGATAGCAGGAAAGTTGGAAGTAACTCCGCTGGAGTTGTTCCACGGATGTTCAAGAGCTCATCTCTGGTGAAAGAGCTCCGGAAATCGCAGCAGGAAACATGATCAACAACAAAAACAACAAAAAACGCACCGTGGCAGCCATCAATGGCGCCATCTTGGATCTGGCTTTCCTCCAACACATTTCTCTTGTTCTTAAAAGTTTCATTTTCATCCTTCACATTTCTTTTCCATGGCATGCCGCCCCTGCTCTTTGTTTTGTTTTGATTGATTGTGCAGACTGAGAATATTGTCATGTCACTATACTGCAGCTTGAAAAGAGAGCTGAGTGTATTTGATTTCAGTATATCAATAAAGGATGATTTGTGGTAACTGCTTAAAACATGTCTTAATATTTGATACAAATGTGAGTTATTTTCCACTGATTTAAACTGTTCAAACTATGAAATACATTAGTATGTGAACCAGTTGCTCAAAACACTAATTTGACTCAATAGAGGCAGTGAGCATGTGATCGTGTTTCCTGAGTAGGATGTACTGTCATTTTTTCTTGGCCAATCAAACACAGTCTTGTATTGTGAAAAATGTAGAAAGGATGAAGATTGTTCTCATTCAGCACAATAATTTCAACACGATGACATCTGCAAAGTTTATCTTCTACCTGACATGTTTGTCTTTGGGGAAAATGGGTGAGTTGTGTTTTAGTGACTTCAGTTTGAATCTTTTAAAGTGTGTGGCCACTCCTGATGGCATTGCTTCAGATGAGTTGATTCATAGTATGAAGTGTAATCGCTTCTTCTCTTGTATCGCTTCAGTTCAGACGACTGACCTGGATTCCTCCTCATCTGTTTATCAAGGGAATAGTTTTCTATCAGTTCAAACAGGGGGAAACTTGACGTTGAAATGTTTTCATGAAGCCAGTTCAGCAGGAAGGGTTCACTGGTTTAAACACATTCTGGGACAGAAACCGAGGCTCATCTCATCCTCCTACAGGTTATCAAAAGTGACTTTTAATGCTGAATTCAAGAATCCACGCTTCACAGTGGATACTGAAAATAATCGGAATCACTTGACGATAACAGATCTGCAAATTAAAGACTCAGCTACTTACAATTGTTTAAGAGGTAATGCATACAAATTGGATTTCTTGACGATAACTACTGTCAGTGTACAGGGTTCTAGTTCAAACATCCCAGCTTTGCTCCATCAGTCACCATCAGAGACCATCCAGCCAGGAGGCTCTGTGACTCTGAACTGTACAGTACAAACTGGGACCTGTGATGGACAACACAGTGTTTACTGGTTCAAAGACTCTGAAGAATCTCATCCAGCGCTCATTTACACTGATGGAGGCAGCACCGATCAGTGTGAGAGGAAACCCAACACACAAACACACACCTGTGACTACAACCTGCCGATGGAGAGCCTGAATCTGTCTCATGCTGGAACCTACTACTGTGCTGTTGCCTCGTGTGGACACATTCTGTTTGGAAACGGGACCAAACTGGACTTTAAAGGTAAGTCATTTCATTGCATATGTTATGTATTCCTATTCATATTGTCAGTAAAATACTTTTAAAGGGGATATACATCATTATATATATATATATATATATATATATATATATATATCATTTTAAATGTATATTATTTTGTTTCTCTACAGATGAGAAGGACTCTCGTATCTATTTCTTGAGTGGAGCTCTAACTTTTACCATCATCCTTAATGTCCTTCTGGTTTTCTTACTTTGCATGATGAACAAGAGAAACCGCTGTGAAGTTACAGGTATTGTAAAAACTATTTTGTGTGTCTGACAGTGTGCCCTCACTTCACACTTTCTTATAGTGTCAGAACTTTTCTTTCTCCTTCAGAGTCTCATGCAAGATATTCAGCTCCCTTCACACCAAATACTGAGGTAAGATAACTGTTGTTTTATCATTCAAACAATCAGGCACAGTAGTGATTAAGGACACTGTTTTATTGTCTATAATGTACAATATTGTGGTTTCTCTCTTTTTGTTAGGGTGAACAAAATGAATCAAACATCCAATATGCGGCGGTAAGAGAACAAAAGATGAGCAGATCTAGAAGACAAAGGAACAACCTTGAGACTGAATGCACATACTCAACTATAAAGCAGTAGGAGTGTACGTGCTTCAAAGGGGTACCAAGCTGGCCTATGAGACGCTGAGGTCATTTTGTAATTATGTGTTGAAGCAGCATGGGACTGTAACTGTATGACTGATATCTCTATAAATCCAGGCTGTTTTATGAAGAAAAGTAAAAACAACTGTAAAAAAGGGATGACGTAGAGAACAGTTACAGGACTAAAATCTGAACCACGAACATACACAAACATTCCAGATGTAATTATTGTGATTTAAAAATCCTTTTGCACACAATTTTATATGTGAATATGAAATACTACCAATTATTTTAAGTGTAATGTAATAACTTCATTGTATATTTGGCAGTGGTAATAAATGCAGATGATAAATAGTCAAGATCAGGGGTCTCAGACTCAATTCAGGTGCGGGCAATATGCAGCCTACCTCGACCGAACGCGGACCAGACCATTACGGCCGACGGAGGGTGGTGCTGACGATCCGACCGGCGAACGGTACTGTCCTCCTCCATAACTGTCAGTAGCATCAGCAGTAGCAGTAATGTCCTCATAGGACGCTGATCAGTCCCCATTTTCACATTTTTGTCACTTAGAACTGTCTGCCAGCAGATAATGGTCATTTTTTATTAGAGGGTACCGATTTACAAACCAATCAGCTATCAATCTGACAACAAAATACAGCATAGAAGGTCAATGGACACTATCTCTGGCGTTCTGGTGTGGCCAGCAATGCGTAGAATGAAATATATTTAAGCGTTCGTTCTGGGTGCTGGTACACAGACTAGTTCAAAACACATCGAGGAACTCTGTGAAACATAAATACATCTATAAATATGAACAAGTGAACTTAGCGCTTCCTCATTTGTACTAAGGTCAGTCAATAGAAAATTCTACATTTTATTTTAAAAAGGGATTAATAAAATGATTTTACACATTAATAGTTAGGGTTTCTTCCCCTGTATAAAGAAGACTTTACTTTATTTGTCTTTCATAAATATGTGATTCATGTTAATTTTATATTTATTTAATGTAGATGTGACATGAAAATAAACCGTGACATACAGCATTCGATGCAGACATCAGCTGAACATGCTCAAAAATCCCCTCTGGTCTATTAATAACTTTGTCTAACCAGAAATGTAAGCGGGGCATGCAACCTTCAAACTAGCAACCTCTCTGCATTACTTTCTGCTGGTGGAAACTTCACTCCTAGTTTGAATGGAGGAAGACTGGCACAGTCACAAATCAAGAACAAAAAGAAGCCATTTTGTGAGGGCAGCCCTATAAAATGAGCAATAATGTAGCGGGGGGTAGCAGAGCAGAGTAAAGCAATAAGATCTTTTTCTTTTTGCCCCCGATCCAAAAACTGAAAGGAAAACTAACGGCTGCGCAAACTCTAATTGTTATACGCCTAAAACAGGCGTACAGCACATTATGTCTTAATGTTGTACACCCCGTGACTCTCAACCAATAATAATGCTTGATTTTATCGTCCTGTAACATTTAATTTTCAAGTGTAATATAACAACTCAAATATTATGGTGATTTCAAACAGTGCTGTAGAATCTAGAATCTATCAGCCGGACGGCAGCCCAGTGATTTTAAATACCTCAGGATGCCACTGCAAACGACGTACGATGAACGTCCTGCGTTCACTTAAAGGTCTGTGGGTCTTGGGGGGGGAGGAGGGGGGATATATGCTCTGAAAGTTTCCACAATTCTAACCAGCCCTTGATGGCTTACATCACATACACAGAGGGAACAAAGAAACCGCAGAATAGTCTTTTCACGTTGTGTGCAAACCAAGTGTATGGAGGAAACATCCTGTGTCTTTGTTTCAGGGCTCACAAGCAGGACATCTCATCATCAATGCTTCACACTTTTCTTCCCTACATGCTTGGGTCTGTTGTGTTGCAAGACAGCCACTGCAGCATGATTGTATATCTTCTTTTTTTTGTCATGACACGCTGTAGCTAAATGGAAAAATAGCTTTGTTGCAGCCATAAATTCTAAATTCTGAATTCTACAAACTACACACTACACTAATCCATTGAATAAACCGAGATCCAGGCACGTGCACAGATAGACCCGTAATGGTGCTCAAGCACCTGCCCTTTTGCCCTGGATGAGAAAAGTGCCCCTTCTGCTGGAGCCCACTTTTTTCTTCATTCATCAATATTTAAAATAAAAAATACTCTCTGTCATCAATTCCCCCCAAGTGTGTTTTGACGGGGCATTTATTTGAGTTCTTGTGAGAATCGCTGCGAACGTGCTCCGTGGCTCTCACTAGCCCCGCCCCTCACCTCCCTCCTTCTCCGCTTAGTGCCCGTGCAGTGCTGAGCGCCAAACGGCTGCCGCATCAGAAACGCAGGTGATGACGGTGTTTGTCCAATCCCCCAACGTTATTTGGTGATGAATTGACCACAACATGAGTGCCACTGAAAACATTACTACGGAACTGGTCTGACGTTTCCTGAAAAATAAACAAACAAAAACTCACGAAATCCGTTCTACAAATTAGACAAGTGCTAAAGACGGCATTAAGTTGGACGCCATGAGCGATATGAATGAATGAGATGGTGCGAGATCTAGCAAGGAGACCTGGGATGTTTTCAGATGCACAAATGAATGTTGGTCTCCTAGCTAATCATCAACCAATTTCTGGTGCTAGGCTAACAAAGGTGATGTTTCTTGCTCGTAAATCAGCACATAGGAGAATGTAAAGTCGCACATCTGGCTGATACAACTATATAATAGCAAGGTGACCAGTGAAACTACAGCAGATGATACCCTTGGCTAATTAAAAAAATAAACCTACTTTAAGATGCTTCTTCAGGTTGGAAGTGGAGTCTTTGGACGCTGAAAGGAGGTTGTTGCTGGCAAGCAGAAGTTGCACTGCACAGTTATATTCCGTTCTCCCTTCTCTTTCTTTAACATGAAATGCTTATGTAATTTCCAGGATAGAAAAGCATTCCTGCCCTGGCTCTCTTCCTGCTCCTCTTCAGACTCCGTTAGCAGCTATCACGAAATGAGAATTTTCATTCGTTTTCATGTCGGGGCTTCAGGGAAATGCATTAAGTTGCCTCCATTTATTTAGAGAGTGAATCAACTTGTGAAACTGAGAAGTACCGTCATGTAATCCATTGATTTCAACAATGTAACTGTATTGTGAATACCATCTATTTAAATTGTAACTGTATACAGTAACGAAATACAGTTACTCATAATTTGTATTCTACATGTATTCTGTTACTCCCCAACACTGACGACACCTCTGGTTGGTAGAGGACATAAAAGGTTTTGGCCTAACTTCACTCTGTTGTTTCTGTATTATTGGAAAACACATACTACCTGTGCAAGATGGGGTGAGAATTCTTTGCACTGAGGGTTTGCTTTTAAGAAATGCAAAAGAAAAGAAGAAGAATGGCAAAGGGTTTCTGACACTGCTGTCCCTCCTATGAAGGCAGTAAATACATAAGGCAATTGAGAATGATTAACTTTGACCCTCGTGTTTAGACCTGTATCTATTAATGACGTCAATGTTGAGCCAAATTGGATTTCACTGAAAGTTTTTATTATTGTACAATACTCTTTACATCTGGGATCTATGTTTCTGACCGTCAGTCATTTTCTTTAGGCCCGTCTGCAACAGTTTCCCAACCTTATAAAGTGATTATAATTGTTACCATCACAACGTGAAATTTACTTTACCTTAACAAAGAACATTACCACACTGTTACAATGGCCTTCACAGTGGCTGGACTTAGAAAGTAGCATGACTGACACAGAGCTTGAGTGCATACCTCCTCCCAGGTGTTTATTTCAACCATCAATTAGGACAACATACTTTACATGGCATAGTTGGAGCAATAAGGTGACATCTGCAACTTTTCTATTTCAAAGATGCATTTTCCCTTCTCTGCATGTGGGCCTTCAACTGAGCAGGACAACAACTGCGGTAATTCTGCCCCTTTATGCAAAACAATTACCTCGGCCAGAAGAACACATATGTCACAAATTCCTAAAATACCTATTTCAATTATATTTCTTTATAGTTATACTTTCTAAAATCAAGTGTAAACTTCTGATTTAGTTCTCTTTACTCTCCTCTACTAATTAATCCTTGGTATCTCCCAGAACCATAAAAGTGTGCCTAGGAGAGGAGACAAAGCAGAGGTCAGGGGTCATAACATATCATTCACCCCCATTCAACAAAAAAAACATGAGGACAATAAGAGAGGGGGACTAATAATAAAAACAGCTTGCCTGGCTTTCAATATCTACAATAATCAATAAATTCAATAAGCATTAAATCCACTGAGTGTGTGTGTTCTTTGTAACAGTCCACAAAGTCTTGGATATAATGGAGGAGGTCTTCATTCCACAATGTCGACCTGCAATAATATTGTATATACCTGGGATCTATTTTTGCTAAAATGCTTCCTACAAATACAAGGATAGAGAGCCAATGCTTCTACAGACACTTCTCTAACCATGAAAATCTTTTGAACGTAACTTTACGCTTTAGATGTAAGGAAGAGCGCTTCCTCAGTAGGACGTTCACAGAGTCACATCAGGTTGGCCAATCAAACGCAGTCTGTCTCTGAAGAGTGGAGAAAGTCTTAAGATGATCTTCATTCAATGCGAGAACTTGATCACGATGACATCTCCAAGGTTTGCCGTCTATGTGACATGGTTGTTCTTGTGGAAAATGGGTGAGTTGGGTTTTTGTATTTTAACTTTTCATGGAAATGCTTATCTTTATATACTGTACATACATACACATGCATTTAAGTTATAAAAGTAAGTTCTTTGTTAAGGTTAAGTAACTTTTCATGAAAATGCTTTTCTTTTTCATATCATTTATATAATACATACATACACTTTTACATTACATGTCATTTAGCTGACGCTTTTATCCAAAGTGACTTACAATAAGTGCATTTAACCACAGGGTTATAAACTCAGAAGAGCAAGAAACAAGAAAGTGCAATTTCATATAATAAGCCAATTTAAAATTTGCTATAGATAAGTGGCATTATAAGTACAAATTAAGTGCTACGATTTGTTAATCTTTTACACTCACACTTAAGATATATATATATATATATATATACTCTCCAGCCCCCCCGCGACCCTGTGTATAGGATAAGCGGTTTGACAATGGATGGATGGATGGATATATATATACTGCATTAAAGAAATAAATGAATATATTTTGATGGTATCTCTTCACATTTGAGCTTTTTGACTTGTGTTTTTGTGTAACTTTGTTGGAAATGCTTACATCATATACTGTATGTATATATATATATATATATATAATCATTTATACTGTATATAATAATTATAATTACTTGGTATCTCTTCTCACTTCAGCTCATTCAACTGATCTAAAATTGTCGTCACCTGTGCATCAAGCAAGACGTTTTGCATCAGTCGGTGTTGGAGACAAAATTACTTTGGAATGTTTCTATCAGAATAAAGGTGGAGAATGGCTTTACTGGTTTAAGCAAATGTTTGGCCAACAACCAAAGCTGATCTCTAACTTCTATACGTACAACAAAAAGGAAAATTTTCATCATGAATTTGAGAACAATCCACGCTTCACACTGGATAATGAAAAAAGTCATAATCACTTGACAATTACTAATTTGAATATTTCAGACTCAGCAACTTACTACTGTGCACATAGCACTTCATTTCTGTTGACTTTTGCTGAGGGCACTGTGGTCAGTGTGCAGGGTTCAGGTTGGACCGTCCCAGCTTTGCTCCATCAGTCACCATCAGAGACCATGAATCCAGGAGGCTTTGTGACTCTGAACTGTACAGTACAAACTGGGACCTGTGATGGACAACACAGTGTTTACTGGTTCAAAGACTCTGAAGAATCTCATCCAGGACTCATTTACACTGATGGAGGCAGCACTGATCAGTGTGAGAGGAAACCCAACACACAAACACACACCTGTGACTACAACCTGCCGATGGAGAGCCTGAATCCGTCTCATGCTGGAACCTACTACTGTGCTGTTGCCTCGTGTGGATACATTCTGTTTGGAAACGGGACAAAATTGGATATTGAGGGTAAGTGATAATCCAGCTCATCAGATTATTTTTTTTCCCTCAATCAAACTTGATATGAACACAAATATAAATATATTTACAAACAATATCCTTTTCTGGTTTCTGACTGTGCAGACAATGGCGACCATCTTCTCCTGGTGTTTTTATTGAGTGGCGCTTTTGTGTTCATCACCATCCTGGTGGGTTTATTGGGTTTTGTGGTCTACACGCTGAACAAAAAAAAAAGCTGTCAATGTTCGGGTAAGTTTTTCTGTTTTTATCTGACAGCTTGTATTCTATAAATATACATTTTAAAATAGAGAATTTCTCCTTTTCACGATTAGAGTCTCACACAACCGTATCATCTCCCTCCACAGGGAACACAGAGGTGAAATTCATCATATAACTTAACTATTTATATTGTGGATATTGTTTTATTTTTTGATATATCCTAATACGCTTCTTCATATTTTGTCACCAGGGCTACCAAAATGCACAAAGCGCTCAATATGCTGCTTTAAATCTCAATCTTCCCAACGGATCAAGGAGGCAGAAGATGAACATCGATGTTGAATGTGTGTACTCCAGCGTAAAGCAGTAGATCGTATTTTAAATGTGAAGTAGATTTTGGTGTATTAATCCCGGTATTATAAGGAATAACGTTATATTTACACCTCAAGATTAACAACCAATGCCAACATTTAGTATAAGGGAAGGAAATGTCCCTTTTTTGTAGTTTATGCCATGCAATTTGGAGGAATGTAGTTTTGTATGTAAACGATCAAATATAGCTTATATATGATAATTTAATTTTGGGATGATATATTATGTGCATGTGTTCATTTACTGGGTCTGTCAATTATTACAGTCTGTCAGTTATGATTCATTGCTGATTTTTTTTTTTCAAGCAATCATTAGGATAATTGGGTTGTTAGAGTTGCAGAGCCGTGTGAAGGATCAGGCTCTACTACTCAACCATCACAAGAGTGTGTCCATTCTAGTTCTATTATCATAGCATTAAATCTGTTGGACCTGTCATATTCTCAATTTTTATAATTGAAACAGAGCAAAGTCGCTTGTTGTGCATTTTTATGGTGACATCTTGTATGCCATTTGCTGTACGGTAAACGAGGGCGTGGCCAGATTACAGCACCTTTTTTAAGACCTCCTGAGACCTTTTTTCAATTCAAAGCTTTTTCTTCATTCAAAAAGGTAGAGTGCTGAGGTTTGATTTATGGATATCTAATAAAGCAAAAAAGTATGCTTAAATCTACTGATTCCATCAATTTTTTGTTGAAGGACGTTCAGAGAAGAGTGAAAAAACATTTTCCATTTAGAAAAGCCTACAGTGGAATTATTTGCTCTTCTACTCATGAAGAAATATTCTCCAGTTCTGATAAAACAACATATGACCCTTCAGGAGCTTATATGGTTGTTTCGAACAAACGTTCGAACAAACTGTCGCCTGCACACACCTAAACCACACCTGGAGCTGTGAAAGGCTCCTCACAGGAAGCCGACTGGTCCTGTCTCTCTCTGGCTGGACACAAACGCATTACTTGAAGTTTGACTAGATGGTATTTGTGTGAAATGTTTTCTTTGTGTCATCTCCTGACAATCCTGCTGTCCTACAAAAGAACACAGCAAAATTCTTAGAGTTCATTTTCCGGTGTTAGGCAAAAGTGTTCACACTGCAAAAAGTTGATTCAACTCTTACAGAGTCAATTGTACGAGAGAGCTGGCGTCATTATCCAGTGTCAAGATCAGATTCATTTGCGACACTTAGTGGAGTTAAATTAACTCTTTGATAGGATTGAAATGTAACTGTGCAGTGTCACACTTCTTCATGTTGGGTTTAACTCCATGTACTGTGGCGCATGGAGTAGAGAGGATGAGCCAGGAATCTCAAGGTTGGTGGTTCGAACCCCAGTTGCCACATGTCCCACCTTGAAGTGTCCCTGAGCAAGACACCTAACCCCTAATTGCTCCCTGGGCTAAAATGTAAAAACCATGGGTTAAAAATGCAATATAAGTCGCTTTGGATAAAAGCATCAGCTAAATGACATGTAATGTATTTAACACTGACCAGATTTTTTTTTTACACTTATTGTGAGTTAATTTGTTAACACTTCGTTTAGTGTTGATTTAACACTGACAAGATTGGGGCAATATAAACAACAGCTTAGAGTTCAAATTGAATCTCACAGAGTCAATTTAATTCTCTGAAATTTGCTGTATAGTTTAAAGATTTGTCAGAAGTTTCTTGGTTTCTTGCTATACATGGTTAGAGAGCATGCAAAACAAATGCATGATTGAATTCCAGCCATTGGCCATTGTTGCATTTCCTGATCTCATCTCTAAAACCCGATTTCTAGACAGTTTCTAAAAATATATTTACAGAGAACTCAATAATAATTTATGGTCACAACTCACAATGAATACTGAAAATGGTAACTTGGACTTCAAGTGAGACATTTCAGACCTAACTACTCACTTCTGCATTAATTGCTATCTACACATTGGAAATTTTGGTGAGCATCACGGTCAGTGTGCAGGATACAGGTTTGACCGTTCCAAACACACACACCTGTGACTACAACCTGCCGATGGAGAGCCTGAATCTGTTTCAAGATGGGACCTACTACTGTGCTGTTGCCTCGTATGGACACATTCTGTTTGGAAACAGGACCAAGCTGGACAACAGTAAGTCATTTTAATCAGAGCTGGACATTGAGGGCAAGTGACTTGTTACAGCTGAGTATTTGTTGTATCTAATTGGTGCTTAAAAGAGACATGTTTCTGACCTATATCTCTTTGCAGATGAGCTGGACTGTCCTTTATTCTCTTAAGTGGAGCTTTGGTTTTCACCAACATCGTAGTTGTTTTACTGGCTGCCAAATCACAGGCAACTATAGCTATTTATATCTGTCAGCTTGGTTTCACTTAATGCAACCTTTTAATTAAAGATTTTTTTCTGTTTAAGAATCTCAAGATCTCAAGATATCCCGCTCCCTCCACGGCAAATGCAAAGGTGAATAAAAAACTATTCAACTGCTGTATTACTGTATGCATTTTTCCTTGTATATTGTTTCATGTAAAAATGATATGTACATCTAATATGTGATTTGTTACTAGGGTTACCAAAACAAAAAGTTCCTGAATTATATGGCTTTAGGTATCCACCTGCACAACGGACCAAGAAGACGGACGGATTAGACCTGGAGTGAATGCATTTACAAGGCAAGGCAAGGCAACTGCATTTGAACAGCACATTTCAACAACAAGTCAATTCAAAGTGCTTACATAAAACCATTAAATACATCCAAACCTAAAGTAAGGAGATTTACAAACAGTTAAGAACACTGATTGAAACATAATAGAAAAAGCGTAATTAAAAGGATAAAAAAAAGATGTTAAAAGATTAAAAATTGAACAAAATTTGCAGTGTAATTAAAGAATGGCTTTAAGAATTCCGAATTGCAGAAAGGGTCAATTAAAGGAGGAAGCAAACAGAAGTGTTTAATCTGGATTTAAAGGAGCTGAGGGACTCAGCTTTCTAGGACTTTGTTCAAGATATGTGAAGCAGAAAAGCTGAACGCTGCTTCTCCATGTTTAGTTTTGACTCTGGGAACAGAAAGTAGACCAGTCCAAGACAACCTAAGGGTTTGTGGCAGTTCAAGAAGTATCAGCAGATCAGAAACGTACTTTGGCTCTATCCTTTTTTATCAATAAATGCTTTCTATTATCAATAAATGCTTTCAATCATTATATTTAGAAGCTCAGATCCACCAGCATCCAGGTCAGCTGATATGTTTTGTATTAAACTCCATTGTTGTTTTCTATAACCAAATCAAATGTTGTTCTTTGTATGTGAAATTGATGTCATCAATGATAATAAATACATTTAATCACTTAATTAATTTGCAGCACTTGAAAGTAGAACATTTTTTAGAGTGAGTATTCATCTCAGGGGCTTCTTCACACATTTCTAGCAGAGAGGTCGGTTGACCCCATCCAACAAGTGGTTACAGGAACAGGAAGGAGCTTTTTTCTGTGACCTAACAGCCTGCTGCTGATGATCTTCAGTTCAAAATTGTGACTGACACTGGATGAGTGAAGTTGTTTTTTCTGTCTCACAAGAGGAAATTTACTTTGCAGAAATACAACGTAATAATGCAAAACCCGTTTTTACACTCCCGAGCCTGCTCCGTTCCCCCCATCAGAGTATCTCCATCCATAGCTTGAAAAGTAACTCTAAGGCGACGCCTATTTTTCCTTATTAGCCAATGAGAGCAGACAAGGATTTTGGGAGGTGTTGAGGTGCGGGAGTTAAGGAATGGGGTGTGACATTTCAGTGGATCTATTAGCAGGAATGGAATACGATATTGATGATTATGTTGTCATTAGATTAACTACCTGAAATTAAGAATGTGTTTTCATTAGCTTATCTACAAGGGGAGCTAGGTATTTCACCATAGTTTACCCTCAAACTTGTGTAACTGCTGTAAAGTGAGTCGCTGAGTGCAAAACCGTGGAAAAACCAGCCAACGTGTTACTTATGGATCGCGTAGATGTTGGAGGATGAACCCTAAAAGAGACTAACAGTATTACCAATATATTTCATTCTGAGACTCATCCCACCACAACCCTGGAAAGGGGCAATTGAGGAGTATTGGCGATAAAATGGGCATTTCCGACGTACCATAAGGCTGGCGCATGCTTCTATGTCTTTACGCACCATTGTGTCGTCACACTCGTTTCAATCCATGGTTCTAAAAGGCTTGCGTGTGTTGCAAAGCAGTTCCCGCCAGAACAATAGGTGGATAACGTTTTTTGTCGAAGACGACCTAGAGCCACGTCTTTGTGTGTGGAAGTCGTTGGTTTGTTTATTTATTTATCATAGACTTTATTGGCCCGTGCATCGCCACTGCTGCTTTTCATCGCGGACACATTTTTCCCGTATTTTCCTCCACAACTTTGTTTCCCTCGACCAGCAAACCGACGTTTGCGGAGATCTCCCTCCATGAATTGGAGGCCAGCCGCGCGTCTTTATAGTCCGCAAATGACGGGTTGCATACGTGGTCATATTTACAGATTTTTTCCGACAAAAGTTCTTCAATCTTATCCATTCTCTCGTTAAGGGATGTAGTTAGCAGACCAAACGCAGCCTTGCGGGCTGCAGGAGGCTTGCGTAGCTTTTGACGCAAGCCTAGAAAAATGGGTCAACGCAGGCAAGGATGTGTGAAAAGGCACGCAAGGGACACGCAAGGGGCTCTTGCATCTGCGTAGACGCATAAACTAGGCTATAGTCAGATGAACAGTCCAGGGGAGATTAACAATTTCTTTTGATCATTGAGGGGAAATACAAGTTCATGTAACAAACCAAATACAAGAATTAGTATTACAGTGAAAAACATGTCTCCCATTTAAGTAACTAGTCCATAACTGTCAGAGCGGGGTCCGTGCGAGGGGAGAGGGTAGGTAGGACTCAGAGAACAAAAAAGGATTTTAATAGTCAAAACTCCAAAAAAAAAAAAACTCCAAAAACATAGTTAAGAAACTGTGACGAGAACAAGGTCATGGCATGAGCTGTGGACAACTAACATTTAGTAATGACGCCTCAAGTCATTAGACACACATGGCTTATTACACTAGGGAGGTGCAGGTGATTGGAAACAGCTGGAAACAATCATGACATGACAATCACAGGGGAAGACAGGACAAGGCAGGAAGTGACGTGACCCAGGGAGAACAGAGGCATGAAACTACAAAATAAAACCAGACATGAACCCAAACCGTGACACATAACAGTCTGTAGTTTGGGTAACACTCCATGCTATTGAATACACTGATAGACAACTGTTATTAAGGTTATCGGAAGTTATTGTTTGTCACGTTATGAATGCTGTTCTATTGAAAAATATCAATGTAAAAAATATATATTTATATTTTCATCTTTTAATCTGGTTCCAATGAGCAAACTGAACAGTGTTTTTGTCTAAACATGGACGAAATATAGTATATATTTGTTCACTCTAACCATATCTGGCATTTCTTTTCCACTTGTTGTATTCACATCCATTGCATGCTGTGTAACACCCAGACTGGGGCATTAGGTCACATGTTGTTTTCTGTTGTGTTTCTGTCACTCACCTTTCCCTCTCGTTTCAGACACCTCCTCCCTGTGTGCCACCGCCCTCTGTGATTGCAAGCCTAACCCTTATTGTTTCCACCTGTGTCTCGTTATCGTTACTCGTTACTTTGTGCCGACAGCCTGCTCTGTGCCAGTTTGTCTCTTTGTTCCCAATGAGCTTACCCGCGATTCTCCTGACTGTGCCTTCCCGTGTTTTGACCCTTTTCCGTCCCTCCGTCAACCTTTGCCTGCCGATTTGGATTGATCCACCTTCTCTGTCTGACTACCCGTGTACCAAACCCCTGCCTGAAGCCAGACTCTCTTTCCCGGCTGTTTGACCCTGTTTCCCCGCCTAGCCCCCCCTCCCACATTCTGCCCTCGTCTTGTCTAGTTGGGGCCGTCACCTGGGACATTGAGGAGAGGGTGAGGCAGGCAGCCTCAAGCATCTCTGTTCCTAATGGTTGTCCCCCCAGCAGGCTGTTCGTTCCTCCCTCTCTCCAGTCGCAGGTTATCCAGTGGGCCCACTGCGCTCGAGTCTCCTGCCACCCCGGGGTTCGGAGGACAATGTTTGTTATAAGGCAGCGGTTCTGGTGGCCCGCAATGGAGAGGGAGGTGGGGGAGTACATGTCAGCTTGCCAGGTGTGTGCAAGCTCTAAGATCCCTCGACGCCCACCGTCCGGGCTCCTCCGCCCCCACCGGTTCCACACCGCCCATGGTCCAACATCTCGCTGGACTTTGTCACAGGGCTTCCCCGGTCAGAGGGCAACACCACCGTCCTCACGGTGGTGGACTGGTTCTCAAAGATGGTCCATTTCATTCCCCTGCCTAAGCTGCCCTCCGCCAAGGGAACGGCGGAGGCGGTGCTTTATCATGTTTTCCGTCTCCATAGTTTCCCCGCAGATGTGGTGTCCGATCGGGGCCCCCAGTTTGTGTCCAAGTTTTGAAGGGAGTTCTGCAGCCTCTTAGGAGCAACGGTCATTCTGTCTTCCGGCTATCACCCTGAAACCAATGGGCAGACTGAGCGTTTGAACCAGGAGCTGGGGACCGGTCTTCGCTGTCTGGTTTCCCAAAACCCCACTTCCTGGTGCAAGAACCTCATCTGGATTGAATACGCGCAGAACACGCTCCCCTTGTCGTCTTCGGGTCTTTCCCCGTTCCAGTGTGCCTATGGCTATCAGCCAACCCTTTTTCCTGCCCTAGAGAGGGAGTCCAGGGTGCCCTCTGCGCTGGCCATGGTCCGTCGTTGCCGTCGCACCTGGGAACGAGCCCGCCAGGCTCTCCCTAAAGAACTCTGCACGTTTGAAGAGGATGGCGGATCGGCAACGGACTCCAGCCCCTAACTATCGGGTCGGCCAGAGGGTGTGGTTATCGACGCGCGACCTGCGCCTTCATGTGGAGTCCCGCAGTGTTGGCGCCAAGGTTCTTTGGTCCCTTACCCATCTCTAAGGTGGTCAATCCTGTGGCCATGAGGCTTAAGCTCCCGAGACCCATGAGAGTACATCCCACATTCCATGTAGCCCGGCTAAAGCCAGGCAAGGAGAGCCCCTTGGTCCCTGCCACCAAACCCCCACCACCCCCCCGACTCATTGATGGTGGGCCAACATACGCCGTCAAGCGGCTCTTGGCGGCGCGGCCGGGGCCTCCAGTATCTGGTGGATTGGGAGGGATACGGTCCGGAGGAGAGGTCGTGGGAACCAGCCCGCAACATCTCATAACCTCATCAAGGACTTCCAACGCAGGTTTCCTGATGAGCCTGGGCCGTCAGGTGCCGGCCTTAGGAGGGGGGGTACTGTAACACCCAGACTGGGGCATTAGGTCACATTAGGTTTTCTGTTGTGTTTCTGTCACTCACCTTTACCTCTCGTTTCAGACACCTCCTCCCTGTGTGCCACTGCCCTGTGATTGCAAGCCACACCCTTATTGTTTCCACCTGTGTCTCGTTCTCCTGTGTATTTACTTTATGCCAACAGCCTGCTCTGTGCCAGTTTGTCTTTGTTCCCAATCAGCATACCCGCAATTCTCCTGAGTGTGCCTTCCCGTGTTTTGACCCTTTTCCGTCCCTCTGTCAACCTTTGCCTGCCGATTTGGATTGATCCACCTTCTCTGTCTGACTACCCGTGTACCGAACCCCTGCCTGAAGTAAAGATTATTTTTGCCTCTGACTACTACGCCTTGAGTCTGCTTTTGAGTCTAAACCCAGCGGCGTAACATGCTGCTCCTCCTCCTCTCATTTTGTTTTGATTGATTGTGCAGCCGTAGAACATTGTTGTGTCTCCAAACTGCAGCTTGAAAAGAGAGCTGAGTGTATTTGATTTCAGTATATTGAAAAAGGATGATTTGTGGTAACTGTTTAAAATGTCTTAATATTTGATGCACATGAGTTATTTTCCACTGATTTAAACTTATTTTAATCAAATACATCAGTATGTGAACCAGTTGCTCAAAACACTAATTTGACTCAATAGATGGCAGTGAGCATGTGATCGTGTTTCCTGAGTAGGATGTACTGTCACTTTTTGTTGGCCAATCAAACACAGTCTTCTGAGTGAAAGATGTAGAAAGGATGAAGATTGTTCTCATTCAACACAATCATTTCAACATGACGACATCTGCAGAGTTTATCTTCTACCTGACATGTTTGTCTTTGGGGAAAATGGGTGAGTTGTGTTTTAGTGACTTCAGTTTGAATCTTTAAAACTGTGTGGCCACTCCTGATGTCATTGCTTCAGATGTGTTGATTCATAGTATCATGAAGTGTAATGTCTTCTTTTGTATCGCTTCAGTTCAGACGACCGACCTGGATTCCTCATCTGTTCATCAAGGGAATCGTTTTCTATCAGTTCAAACTGGGGGAAACTTGACGTTGAAATGTTTTCATGAAGCCGGTACAGCAGCCAAGCTTTACTGGATTAAAGACACCGTCGGACAGAAACCGAGGCTCATCTCGTCCTCCTACAGGTACACAAGACCTACATTTTATGCTGAATTCAAGAATCCACGTTTCACAGTGGATACTGTAAATTATCGGAATCACTTGACGATAAAAGATCTGCAAATTAATGACTCCGCTACTTACAATTGTATCAGTGGTAATACATACATATTGGATTTTTTTGCTACAACTACTGTCAGTGTACAGGGTTCTAGTTCAAACATCCCAACTTTAATTCATCAGTCACCATCAGAGACCATCCAGCCAGGAGGCTCTGTGACTCTGAACTGTACAGTACAAACTGGGACCTGTGATGGACAACACAGTGTTTACTGGTTCAAAGACTCTGAAGAATCTCATCCAGCACTCATTTACACTGATGGAGGCAGCACTGATCAGTGTGAGAGGAAAGCCAACACACAAACACACACCTGTGACTACAACCTGCCGATGGAGAGCCTGAATCTGTCTCATGCTGGAACCTACTACTGTGCTGTTGCCTCGTGTGGACACATTCTGTTTGGAAACGGGACCAAACTGAACTTTAAAGGTAATTCACTTCATTGGATATTTAATGTATTCCTTTTCATATAGTCCATATAGTCAGTAGAATACTATTAAAGGGAATATGCATCATATATATATATATATATATATATATATATATATATATATATATATAATCATTTTAAATGTAGTCATATTATTTTGTTTCTCTACAGATGAGAAGGACTCTCGTATCTTGGTGTATTTCTTGAGTGGAGCTCTAACTTTTACCATCATCCTTAATGTCTTTCTGGTTTTCTTACTCTGCATGATGAACAAGAGAAACCACTGTGAAGTTACAGGTATTGTAAAAACTAATTTGTAAGTCTGACAGTGCGCTCTCTACACACGTTCTTATAGTGTCACTTGTCTTTCTGTTTCAGAGTCTCATGCAAGATGTTCAGCTCCCTTCACACCAAATGCAGAGGTAAGATAACTGTTGTTCTATCATTCAAACAATCAGGCACAGTAGTGATTCATGACACAGTTGTATTGTCTATAATGTACAATATTGTGGTTTCTCTCTTTTTGTTAGGGTGAACAAAATGAAGCAAACATCCAATATGCGGCGGTAAGAGAACTAAAGATCAGCAGATCTAGAAGACAAAGGAACAACCTTGAGACTGAATGCACATACTCAACTATAAAGCAGTAAGAGTGTACATGCTTCAAAGGGGTACCAAGCAGACCTATGAGACGCTGAGGTCATTTTGTGATTATGTGTTGAAGCAGCATGGGACTGGAACTGTATTACTGATATCTCTATAAATCCAGGCTGTTTTATGAAGGAAAGTAGAAAAAGCTGGAAGGAAGGGATGACGTAGAGAACAGTTGTAGGACTAAAATCTGATATAAGAGCCTTGAATAAAACATGTGTTGAAAAACCACACACATTCCAGATCAGCTGATATTTTTGAGTGTCAAATATGTAATTATTGTGATGTAAAAATCCTTTTGCACACAATTTTATATGTGAATATGAAATACTACCAATTATTTTAAGTGTAATGTAATGACTCCATTGTATATTTGTCAGTGGTAATAAATGCAGACGATGAATAGTCAAGATGAGGGGTCTCAAACTCAATTCAGGTGCGGGCCATATGCAGCCCATTTCGACCAAACGCAGCCAGACCATTACGATTGAGGGAGTGGAGGGGAGGGGCTGGCGCTGAAATATCGTCCCGAGGGCCGCAATTGGCCTGCAGGCCGCGAAGCTGAGACCCCAGGTCAAGATATTCTGTCTTTGAGCTTTCTATTTTATTTTTATACACAAAACCTTCTGACCTGTCATAAGATCCCCCTGATGGCATTAGAAAGAACTTTCAAAATCCTTCTGCTTTTGCTCCACATTTCAGACACAAACTTTGCCGTGTGGATCTACCACTCAGCACTAGATTCTCCAAAAACACAACATGCGTCCTCCACTGCTTGTGTGCCTGTTTCATTTGTTTTGCTGAAGAACAAAAGAATCAAAGCCAAAAGATAAACCATCCCTGCAATTTTTATGTGTTTGACAAAAAACATTCTTTATATAAGAAGAGTTTAACACTAATCTAAACCATTAGATACTTTGTAAAAACGATCTATCAAACTCTTACTTCTTAGGAGCTGCCATTTTTGTTTTGAAAGGACAAAGCGTCGACTCAATGTTGCATCACACTCAGCTAAACCTCCTCCATAACTGTCAGTAGCATTAGCAGTAGTAGCAGTAATGTCCTCACAGGACGCTGATTGGCCCCATTTCCACATTTTTGTCTTTTAGAACTGCCAGCAAATAATGGTCAATTTTTATCAGAGCGTACCAATATTCCAAACCAATCAGCTATCAATCTGACAGCAAAATACAGCATAGAAGGTCAATGGACACTATCTCTGGGGTTCTGGTATAGCCAGCAATATGTAGAATGAAATATATTTAAGCCTCATTTGTACTAAGGTCAGTCAATGGACAATTGTACATTTTATTTTAAAAAGGGAATTATAAAATGCTTTTACACATTAATAGTTGGGGTTTGTTCTGCTGTACAAAGAAGACATTACTTTATTTGTCTTTCATAAATATGTGATTCATGTTTATTTTATATTTATTTAATGTAAAGATTTGACATGAAAATAAACCGTGACATACAGCATTGGATGCAGACATCAGCTGAACATCCTCAAAAATCCCCTCTCGTCTATTAATAACTTCTTCTAACAAGAGATGTAACGGGGCCTGCAACCGTCAAACTAGTCACCTCTGTGCATTACTTCGTTCTGACTGCTGCTGTAAAAAAGGTGTGAACTGCTGTAAACAGGTTTTGGCTGGTGGAAACTTCACTCCTAGTGTGAACGGAGGAAAGACTGGCACAGTCAAAAATCAAGAGCAAAGAGAAGCCATTTTGTGAGGGCAGCCCTATGAAATGAGCAATAATGCAGCGGGGGTAGCAGAGCAGAGTAAAGCAATAAGGTACAATAGGTTGTTGCGTTTACAGTCTTTTTCTTTTTGCCACCGAGCGAAAAACTGAAATGACAACTAACGGGTGCGCAAAATCTAATTGTTATACGCCTGAAACAGGCGTACAGCACATTATGTCTCAATGCAGTACACCCCGTGACTCTCAACCAATAAAAATGCTTGATTTCATCTTCTTGTAACATCTAATGTTCAAGTGTGTGAGATGCATGTAGTGGTAAAAACATTCTGTAAACAATTGTCTTGTGCTAAAAGCTAGATCGCAGTGGTTGACCCTGAGATGGAGAGAGAAAGAAAGATTTAGGGTTTGCAGCTGTGTTTGGGGAAGGGGGTCATCTTGCTCTCACGGACCATCGATCAGAGGAGCATTGTGTGTTACCCTCAGCTTCACCTGAGTTCTTATCTCAACTTGATTTGTGGCTTCTCGTAACTGGCGCTAAGAACTGTCTTCAAGTGTATAAAAACTCAGCGTTTTGACTGCTCGGGAACGCCATTACACAGAACGCTGGAATACGTGCTGGTGTGCTGGACCTCCTGCTTGCAAGCAATAGTTAGAGACAGATATCTGCGGAGAATTGCTCATGTAATCTTTTTCTCTTCTAAATAAATGTTAACTTTTTGACTTTAATTGATCAACGTGCTGGATCCTTCTCATCAACCAACTCGGGTGGATCGGAGATCCTGACAAGTGTAATATAACAACTCAAATATAATGGTGATTTCAAACTGTGCTGTAGAGCCATAAACTAAAATCTATCAGCCGGACAGCAGCCCAGTGATTTGAAAACGGGTCAAGGGTGAAAAAGGTGAGAAGGATATTACCCCTCTAGGGCAGGGGTTTTCAACTGGTTTTGTGCCAGAGATTTCTTCGAGTCATTCGTTGCCGCGGGGGGGTAAGATATTACCGACCATTTTACCCACTCGGTTCTTTGAATGTCGTTCAGTAAAATGAACGAACCTTTCTTTGAGTCATCCGTTGACGGGGGGGGGGGGTGGTAAGAAAATTCACCTCCCGACCATGTCTTCGGGTCAATGATTCGTTCATCGTACTTTAAAGTCAGAATGCGAATCAGGTTGCCAGGTCTGCTTATTGATGGAGGATGGTGGACCGCTTTACCTTCTGCCTCGTCAGTCCCCTCACCTAAAAATCTACCTCCTCAAAAACGGTAGCGTTAGCTAATCACTTTCCACCAAAGCTTTAGCTAGCTGGCCAATGTCGCGTTCTCTCCTGCTGTGTTAAATGACTCAATTCATCAAGCTGTAGCTAACATTAGCTAAGTCAACAAAGCTCCTGGGTAACTTAACTTAGATATACCAGAAAATATTGAAACCATCACTCACCCTGTTCGCAATTTCACTGAATCTCGCGCTCCCTTCTAACACCTGTTCGCAGTTCACTGAATATGAATACCACCCCCCCCCCCAAGAAAAAAACTCATCGAATCTACACAATTCACGTAAGTCACCTATTTTGGTTTCAAAACGGCGAATTTTGCCGAAAGGTGAGGGATTTTCATGCCTGTTAACTAACTCAGGATGCCACTGCAAACGACTTACGATGAACATCCTGCGTTCACTCAAAGGTCTGTGGGTCTTGGGGGGGTGTGTGTGTGTTATATGCTCTGAAAGTTTCCACAATTCTAACCAGCCCTTGATGGGTTACATCACATACACAGAGGGAACAAAGAAACCGCAGAATATTCTTTGCACGTTGTGCGCAAACCAAGTGTATGGAGGAAACATCTTGTGTCTTTGTTTCTGGGCTAACAAGCAGGACGTCTTATCATCAATGCTTCACACTTTTCTTCCCTACATGCTTGGGTCTGTCTGTTGTGTTGCAAGACAGCCACTGCAGCATAATGGTGCATCTTCTTTTTTTTGTCATGACATAGCTAGCTAAATGGAAAAAACAGCTATGTTGGAACCATAAATTCTACAAACCGCTGTTGTAGAGACACACTACACTATTACATTGAATGCACCGAGATCCAGGCACGTGCACAGATAGACCCCTAATGGTGCTCAAGCACCTGCCCCTTTGCCCTGGATGAGAAAAGTGCCCCTTTTGCTGGAGCCCATTTTTTTCTTCCTCATCAATATTTAAAATAAAAATTACTCTGTCATCAATTCCCCCCAAGTGTGTTTTGACGGGGCACTTATTTGAATGAATGGGATGGTGTGAGATCTGGCAAGGAGACCTGGGATGTTTTCAGATGCACAAATGAATGTCTCATAGCTAATCATCAACCAACTTCTGGTGCTAGACTAACAACGTTAGCCTAGCAGATGTTTCTTGCTCGTAAATCAGCACGTAGGAGAATGTAAAGTCTCACATCTGGCTGATACATCTATATAATAGCAAGGTGACCAGTGAAACTACAGCAGATGACTACCCTTGGCTAAAAAAAACTTTAAGATGTTTCTTCACAGTTTATATTCTGTTCTCCCTTCTCTTTCTTTAACATGAAATGCTTATGTAATTTCCAGGATAGAAAAGCATTCCTGCCCTGGCTCTGTTGTGCTCATTTTCTCTTCACCCCGACTCAGCCAGTACCGGCCCCAAGACTCATGACCCCGACTCAGCCAGTCCCTCCCCCAAGACTCATGACCCCCCTTGTCCGCTCTCTGCCAGTTTTGAGCCGTCTGGAATTCGGCCCTTGGGGGGGGGTACTGTCAATTCAATTCAAGTCTCACATCTGGCTGATACATCTATATAATAGCAAGGTGACCAGTGAAACTACAGCAGATGACTACCCTTGGCTAATTAAAAAGAAACTTTAAGATGTTTCTTCACAGTTATATTCTGTTCTCCCTTCTCTTTCTTTAACATGAAATGCTTGTGTAATTTCCAGGATAGAAAAGCATTCCTGCCCTGGCTCTGTTGTGCTAATTTTCTCTTCACCCCGACTCAGCCAGTACCGGCCCCAAGACTCATGACCCCGACTCAGCCAGTCCCTCCCCCAAGACTCATGACCCCCCTTGTCTGCTCTCTGCCAGTTTTGAGCCGTCTGGAATTCGGCCCTTGGGGGGGGTACTGTCAATTCAATTCAATTCATTTTATTTTGTATTGCCCAAAATCGCCTATTACAAATTTCCCATAGAGGGCTTTACACATACGACATCCTCTGTCCCGAAACCCACACATCGGCACGGGAAAAACTCCCCAAAAAATGAAAAAACCCTTCCAAAAAGGAAAAAAAAGGGAAGAAACCTTAGGGAGAACGTCAGAGGAGGGATCCCACTTCCGGGATGGACAGACTACAATGGATGCCATGTGTACAGAATGAACAATGTATAATACATTCAATTCCTGTGACAGAAAATGATTTAAATAATTGTGAGTAGTAAGCCAGGGGCACAGCAGGACCACTGCAGGGGCAACCACCATCAGAGAGAACCACCATCCACAGAAGCCTGTGGGGAGGGAGAGCACAAAGACTTTAGGAGAGGGTTATGTTGGTTTATGAGTACAGTAATATGATATTTAAAATAATGATGATGATGATGGCAGCAGCAGGTGTCAGGACCAGGGTCCAGAAGGAACTACAATCTACGGAGACCTGCTAAGGGAGAAAGCACAAAAACTCCCGGAAAGAAGCTGAATTAGT